CTAGTGGTAAGACTCACAGCTCCTTTTCCCCTGACATCAGATGGCCAGGGACTAGCGGTAAGACTCACAGCTCCTTTTCCCGTGACATTAGCATGGCCAGGGACTAGTGGTAAGACTCACAGCTCCTTTTCCCGTGACATTAGCATGGTCACGGACTAGTGGTAACACTCACAGTTCCTTTTCCCGTGACATTAGCATGGTCACGGACTAGCGGCAAGACTCACAGCTCCTTTTCCCGTGACATTAGCATGGTCAGGGACTAGTGGTAAGACTCACAGCTCCTTTTCCCGTGACATTAGCATGGTCAGGGACTAGCGGCAAGACTTGCAGCTCCTTTTCCCGTGACATTAGCATGGTCAGGGACTAGCGGTAAGACTCGCAGCTCCTTTTCCCGTGACATTAGCATGGTCAGGGACTAGCGGTAAGGCTCACAGCTCCTTTTCCCGTGACATTAGCATGGTCAGGGACTAGCGGTAAGACTCGCAGCTCCTTTTCCCGTGACATTAGCATGGTCAGGGACTAGCGGTAAGACTCGCAGCTCCTTTTCCCGTGACATTAGCATGGTCAGCGACCAGTGGTAAGGCTCACAGCTTTCTTCCCCCACAGTAGATTTGCTCTGAACCTGTTTGTTCATCCACAAGACCTGACTTGGGCCATCTCTCGGAGCATCTTAACAGAGCCGCCAGTCCGCGTAATTCAGTGACTCACAACTCAGGCATCGACGCATATCTGTTAATGTTCAGGAAGGACAGTTTGCTTTCACTTCCTCTCTCCTTTAAATCTCTCGTCTCTCACGACCGAGCCCCGAGCAGCGTCTCTCCACCTCTCGCCTGTTATGCCCTTCCGCTTCTCTTTCGTTCCGTCGCCCCGTTACTCAGACCGTGTCTGTTTCACTTTCGCGCCCGCCGGAGCAGCCGGCGCAGTGAATCGCATCATCCAGTGGAGCAGGGCCTTCCTACATTGACGTCCAGGAAATTGACTGAGATTGGGCTGGCCTGTCCGTCACCCTGTCACCCGAGCTGCGACCTCGCCAGGGGCACACCCACACATCATGGTTCCAGCCTGCTGGCTATGGTCCAGGCACAAAGATGGGCCAATCTTTTCAAACCCTCTGGGGTCCGACCTCCTCCGCCCCCCCCCCCCCCCCCCTCCCGTGATGGCGACGCCGATGGATCCCGCGGCGTTCTGCATGCCTGCACCACGTCTGTAGGTCTGGCCATTACCGGGCGTCTCCTCTTTAGGCTACCGTGTAACATGTGATTTCCCCAATTATCCGTGAGTACTCAGTCGCGAGGAGAGAGCGACAGTCCGGGAGCCCCTGCCTTTGGCACAGTTCGCTGCTCCAGAACCCAAACATAGGGCGTGGGCCAGTTACTTAACGGCTTACAGGCCACTTCTCCACCCGGAATGTGTCCATCCTCGCGCACGAAGTAGCTTGGCATGCTGACTTACTGACTATCGGGCGCAATGAAATCGTTTGGTTACTTACGGCACCTTCACCCGCACCTTCACTACCAACAGCAACGCTGCACGTCCCTATCAGGGCTTCGAAACTCATCGTTTCTGAACGATCAGCCGTCAAGCGACACACCAGACAGCTCAATATTTCAGGAAAATCGTTTTCCGTCAAAGATGGTTTCAGTGATGCGAATGTAAGGCGATCGAACGCTTGGCATGCCAGGACGGGGCAAAACACGCTCTTAGCAACTTTAATGTAGTCGCTACAAGTTTCCTCTTTTGGCGGACCCGACAAAAATGCTCAATGTTGGACCGAAGCCCTTCCTCCATGCCATTCAAGGGAAGTACACGTTAAGGTCGGTCCGTATAAGGACGCGCCTCGGGTTACTGCCCCCCAGTCACCCCGAGTGCCCTGTTCCCAGTTACCCCGAGGCCCCGTTGCTCCGACAACTACTGGTGGCAGCGTCGGTTGAGGGGAACCGTGCGCCCCTCAAGACGGACTCGAGCCTCTTTAGCTGCCGTGATACCACGGCCTGGATCGCCCGTCTCCGTGACGGGGCGTCGGACCTATATCAAGCCAACGGCAAGGGTGTTGACTTCTCTGGACATGCCATCGTCCAGCAGCGTCGTCCCAGTGCTCAGTTTCGCGTAGCATCACCTGCCCAGGAGCCAACCCACCAGCTGCGCTGGACTGCGGCGGACCCGGCCAACACCGCACGGCCGACCAGCTTTTGCGGAGTGTGATTTACTCAAACCGGCGAGGGATTAGCTGCCAACAGCGTCGTGATGATGATGATGATTTGGGGTTTTAGGGCGCATCGACTGCTGTAGGTCATGCAGCGCCCATGGTTGCCAACAGCGTCAAGAAAGTAGCAACGAATTCCAAAAATGTCTGCTCTTTCAAAATGGACGCGATAAAGACCAAAACTTCAGACACGGTAAAATTTATATAAACTCTTGTAATGTTGATCCCTTTGCCCAGCATAACAAAAACAAGAAAGGGCCAAGCGGTGGAAATTGTACCGTAAAATTTTGTATTCATCAGCTCTCGTACAATGTATCATGTGCCGTGTGTCAACTAATTATTCCGTGCTGGCGTCTCCTAAATTTTCGAGAGTCTTGCACGTGCCTTCTGATTGTTATTGACATTTTGCACTTCGTTATGTGCCTTACTGACTTTTGATAGTAACGGTATTCACATCAGGTATGAACATTCAAGTACGTGCTACATCGTGGTTAACTCGCTGAAATTTATGCATGTATATGATTCCAGACAGAGTAGCTGAAGCGGCCAGAGATGGTCACGATGGTCCTGCCAAAGAGCAGCGAATCATCCAGCTGTGGACTCCAGGATCTTGACGAGCACGCGAGGCGGCCTGGCAATGGTCATTTTTCCAGAACATTTAAGGCCATTCAAGCCAACACGGCATGCAGTGGGTGTAATTATCACGAATAAACTTACTTGTCTGTTCGCACCATACTTGCAATGTCCACACCTTTAAATTTTCTCTTCGTGCGTGCCCAGGCGGTCGCTTTCTTTAGTGTGGTCGCTTCGGTTCCCTACGCTTCCCTGGGGAGGGAAGACACGTGGCGCCGAAGGTGTCCTCTCCGCGTCATACAAAGGAAGCACACACCATGACCAGTCTGTAATAGGACGCGCCCAGGGTTACGGCCCCGTCACCCCGAGGTGACCGGCTCTCGCTCATCTGGTTCTGGCACCACTACAGGGAAGACGGGCAGCTGCCCGGCCGCGCGTCCAATGATGCGGTATGCGCGGCCTTGGCTATTATACAACATTACAGCCTTCGCATGCGCGCGTCCAACCCACGGACATCCTGAAAACCCGGACTGCAATGTGTCCGGCACTGTCTTCCAGGGACATGTGCGCACGATGCACGCAACAGTGGTCCCAGAGTGGGCGCGTGTGGATCAGTGTATATTGGGGGCCTGTTGTAAGCAAACACCAGTGTCGTCTGATCAGCCCTTCGCGTAGCATTTCTTAATAGCCCCAAAAATACCGAACGGAGCGATATGACGCTCACGGACCTGATAACACCTCATTAATGTGGCTTTTCCATTTACATTTTCGTTTTGCATACATTCCAAAGCGATGTTATAGTTCAACAGCCTAACACGGCACGCGGTTGAAACTTCAAAGACGTACTAGATCCGCTTTTTTCGCGGTTGATCAAAGGGTTCAGGGTATACCTTTCTTCCAAAGAAAGCCAGCAGTTTCACGAAACTCCTGCGCTAGTTTAACATCTCCTAAACGTGATGTGGCCAGTGTCATGGCAGTAAGGTGTAAGCGACGGAAAAACGCAGCCGCCGCTTGGCCTGATCAATCAAAGCTCTTCGTCTTTCAGTCGTTGTGCCAGCGTACCCAACCAGCTGCTGTACCTATCTCTCTGTTATTCTCTGCAATTTGTACCTGTTGTATTTCTGCTGCTGTGCATTCCACTTCTGCTGCAGAGATGAAGTACACTGCGCGTAATCATTCCCGTATGCATACACAGTGACGCGAGACCCGCTGACGACAGCACAACACCCGCGCGACCCTCCGACAGCACGCTCAGATAACGCACATGCATGCTGGATCTGGAGCCTCAGTTACCACGCATTCATATGTTGCACTCCCCCCTACCATGATTGCAGGCGATAGAAGTGCAACGTCAGGGCGTGTTCGTGTCCAGGGTTCGCTTCCCCACCAAACAAACCCGAGCCGTTTATCAAGGCGGCACCAGTCACGACTTCACGAAGTGTGACAGAGCAGGTGAACGCATCTGTTGAACTTTTCGATATTTAATTGTTGCTACCTGTCGATATTCGGTCTATTGCGGAAATTACCGGCTTATACCTAATTAGGCGACCATTGTAAAGTGAGGTCGAACAGGTCAAAAGCGACATTAAAGACGCTGGTAATCGTTTTTGTTCCACTTCGTGCATCAGTTTTCAAGGTACACTTGTACCGCGAGGAATGGACAGAGGGAGGAAGTGCACCGGGCTGAGAACAAACCACATCAGATGAGCTGCCACACACGTTCCAGTGTCCGTGGCACGCGAAAGGAACGGAGGGAGGAAGTGCACCGGCTTGAGGACAAGCCACATCAGGTGACCTGTCGCACACGCTTTGTTAGAGAGCTGAACTGCTCCCCGGGAACGCACGCTCACTTGGCGGTAACGCCAGGTGATGGCTACGTATAGCAAGGTCGTCGGGATCGAACAAAGGTTGCATATAGTGCGAGTAATACACGTGTGCAGTAATACAGCAAATGTAGTGAATAAAAATAAGATATAGTACATTATGTCTCAATTGCTAGTACTGATGCGCAGCCGTGCAGCAAATACGATGTAGCGGGAGGCTGAGCAATGATTGGAAGCAAAAACAAAACAACAAAATAAATTTCCAACTGCCTAAAATGTACCGATTTTGTACATTCCCATGGCTAGTTGGATACCTTGATGTTGTTCTGTGCGAACAAGCGAAACCAACATCCTGCACAGAGAAACGTCAGATTTAGCTTCACAAGCTAACTCCACCTCACCTTCCCATCGTTGCACAGTTCTGCTGCTGTCCCGTCTCGCAGAAGCGCCGTTTGTCGTCACGTTCGATTCCGGTTGTCAGAGTCACACTCGCGCGCCCATACCAGCGCATAGCCTTCGCTCGACCGACTCCAGCGCTCCTACCCGAGTCCTCCCTGCTCTGCCCGCGGCCGGCTCCTGCCAGTCGTCCTGTCCCTCCGGTGCCGGCCTCTGCACGTGCGACCCGGCGTCGGGGCTCTGCTGTAGTGACTGAACGGTGCCCGGCGCGTGGCCGCAGCCGCTGTCGCGTCTGCTCGGCACGCGTCTCTCGCGCCAGGGAGCTGGCCTACGGTGGACCGACCCGCGCCGACGGGACGACTTCACTGCCGCTGCTGCCGCGCCACCGGCGGCGGAGCGGGCCGGACCGCCTCAGGGCAGCGGAGAGACGGCCCCGAGGCCGTGTGGCTGGGACCGGGCCGCCTCAGGGCAGCGGAGAGACGGCTCCGGGGCCGTGTGGCTGGAGCCGGGCCGCCTCAGGGCAGCAGAGAGACGGCTCCGGGGCCGTGTGGCTGGAGCCGGGCCGCCTCAGGGCAGCGGAGAGACGGCTCCGGGGCCGTGTGGCTGGAGCCGGGCCGCCTCAGGGCAGCGGAGAGACGGCCCCGAGGCCGTGTGGCTGGAGCCGGGCCGCCTCAGGGTAGCGGGGATACAGCCATGCAGCTCGGGTCGTGTAGCTAGCGACGGGCCGCCTCGTGGCAACGGAGAGACAGCCCGTGCCCTGTGACTGAGAGCGGGCCAGCTGGTTAATTGTTCGTTATTGGTGCTCTCGGGTGCTTCGACTGCGTGGTCTTTCAGCGCCCAAAAAGTCAGCGGGCCACCAAAGGGCCGTGATAGTCTTTGTGACAGTGCAACGTTCGGTGAAGTTGAAATCGCCTCAGGGCATCGATACGAGGACAGTCGTGTGTATTCACGTGGGGACGCATGACAGTGGTACTCTCCGTGGCAGCATGCTGTCCGTCTTGTGTGTATTCACGTGGGGACGCATGACAGTGGTACTCTCCGTGGCAGCATGCCGTCCGGCTTGTGTGTATTCACGTGGGGACGCATGACAGTGGTACTCTCCGTGGCAGCATGCCGTCCGGCTTGTGTGTATTCATGTGGGGACGCATGACAGTGGTATTCTCCGTGGCAGCATGCCGTCCGGCTTGTGTGTATTCACGTGGGGACGCATGACAGTGGTACTCTCCGTGGCAGCATGCCGTCCGGCTTGTGTGTATTCACGTGGGGACGCATGACAGTGGTACTCTCCGTGGCAGCATGCTGTCCGGCTTGTGTGTATTCACGTGGGGACGCATGACAGTGGTACTCTCCGTGGCAGCATGCCGTCCGGCTTGTGTGTATTCACGTGGGGACGCATGACAGTGGTACTCTCCGTGGCAGCATGCCGTCCGGCTTGGGGGCGGTTCTTAGCTGGTTCATTGCTGGAATATGCCGGCAGCGTCTAGGTGAGGCATGGGGGAAATTTCTGTTTTCGAAGCTGAATCCGATACTAAAACAATAACGTAAATCGGAAGCGATATTCGAAGCCAGCGGCTTCAGACTTTGTTCACGCGAAGCCGAAGCCGCAGTCAGCGGCCTCGAACTTAGGAAATGCAAACCAAAACAGAACCATACACCTTAAAATCAAGAAGCAAAACTGAAGCTTCATCTGGCGCAGTGCAATGTTTTGCTGGGCCAAGATAATTTTTGTGTTTGGTAAAACTGTGTAGGAAAAGAAAATATCGCAAGAGGATGGCAGACTGGCTGAGAGGGAGACGCCAACGTTACATATGGATGCTTTGTTGGCAATCTTTCTCGTCGTGTGCTCGTATGGAAATGACGTTTCGCGCAGTTTGGTCTAGGGCCTTCGTCAACCACGTCATCAAGAATGACCGGCAAGACTTTGATTTTCATATATGGATGCGTGGCAACCTGGAGAACTCCCGTAGTATATTCAGGTGGCAGGCCCGTCAACTGTTTTTGTGACTTAGCCGCAACCGCTGTGAAAACTCCCCATCACAAAGCTGAAGCTATTAGTTCAAGATGACATAAAGACATTGAAATGGTAAGGGCCACAATTCCAAAATCGCTTGAAGCCAAAGCCAGCTATTCTGACACAAAGCCGAGCCGAAGTCAAAGTCAGCTGTTTGAAATAGTCGGCAGCCGCGGAAGTCGAAATCAGCCGCGAAAAAACGACCCACAGCTCAAGTCGAGCTCTTGGGGGGAAAACTGCAGTTTCGCGAAGCCGGAACCGGCTCCGTCCCCATGCCTGGTCAAGGTCGGTATACATACTGATCTAAATCTAACCGATCAAGATCGGTTAGAAATACCGATCTAAACACGACGTCGGGTTAGGCCTCGTGATACTGAAGAAAACTGCGACTCACCGAAGCCCTCCACCCGCGTACCTGACACGGGAAGGTTACGGCATATGGACGTGAGAGCCACGTCAACAATGCTCGTCATCCTTGCAGAGATGTTTCCGTTGGGGCTCGGGGGCGCACCAACAGGAAGGCAGTTTGCAGCCATCTCATCCAGGGTTGGATGGGCTGAGCTTCCTGGACGAGTAGTCTGAGAGATATGACACGCTCAGCGCCCTACCAGATGGCAAACATTGTAATCGTGCCTTGCTGTAAGCTATCGATGGCCCGAGTCTGCAGCTTGTTAATAATTTATCCAAGACACGTAGCGCATCTAGAACAGACTGACGGCGTATTACGTATAAGCCTATATCACTGATAGACATATATATACATATATATATATATATATATATATATATATATATATATATATATCGGCGACCAACGGGAGACATTAGCGGCTTTTTTGTCGCAGACCAGACTAGCGCTGGCGGACTTAGCTGGTGGGTATACTGGCGAGTGACACAGGCGAAAGCAACAGTCCCAAGAAGGGGGACCGCCGCAGAGGACGCGTTTGCGAGATCCGGGAGTTAATTCCCATCCGGCATAAATCGTGGCACCATTGCACGTGTACAGGCAACGCAAGTGACGAGAACAGACAAAATGTGAGTGACCAGACGGCTTCTGTATACTGTTTGACGGGCACTGAATGTCCGCCTCGCCTGTATTTGCACTAAACTACACCTACCCTACGAAGAATCAATCGATCATTGAGGTTTTGGGCTCACCGGCCTTCGAGAGGCGTTCTGTAGTTATCGAAATGCGCGTGAAATTGGGCCTATTTTCTTCTTTTTTTTGGGGGGGGGAGGGAGCGGGAGCAAGCCACCGGTTCGCCTCCTGACAGCCACATTCATAACTTTGTGAGCGTACTCTCTCAACGAAGCAATGTCGCCGTCATGTTTGGGTTACAGAATAAAAGCTATGAGGATAGGCACCGTATGAATGCAACATCACTTACCACGGCACTGTTTCAGCCCTCGTGAAGTAATCAGCTAACCAAAAAGCAAATGCATACGTGACAACGTTTCCATTGTTCTATACCTGCCATGTCTGAAAAAATATTTTCGGTACCAATGTCCCCAACTCATTGTAAGCGCATATGCCCGGAGGGGGGGGGGGGAGGGGAGGAAGGACTTCCAGGTAGACCTTTCTTTGGTGGCGGGGCTGCGTGATGCGCTCTACATTTTTGTCCGGGCCGACGTCAGTCCTTGTATGCGGGATGCTGGAAGATCCTTCGGTTATAGTCGGGGGTCATTTTGAAGGCGCGCAGAATCGCGTAGAGCCTTCCCTAGCTGGAATCGGGAGCACGCATGGTCTCGGCACCCAGCGAGAACAAACTATGGCGTGTTGCGGCCCTCACGCTTTAGAGCGACTCACAATCCCCTGGCCAATGACTGACGTCTATCGTGTAGGCGGCTCAATCACATCCACTGCCGATGCACCTTTCGCGCCGAGCTTTGCCGTTCGTGATGCCACTCAAGTTTAACGGATGCACATCGAATATGCGGGCGTCATGTTAACCCGGCCGCAACATAACATGCCCGGCCCAAACCATGTAGGCAAACGGCACACTGAGGTCCCAGGCGAAATCATAGCTAAAATTGTCAAGTCGCGGGGAACAAGGGCACAGTAAAGCGTAACAGAGAAGTACAGCGAGAATCATTTCTATTTTCTGGAGCAAAAAAATGCATGAATGTTGACAACATATTCTGCGGTTTATTCTTTTTACCTGATGATACCAATTACACAATTAAGAAAAAAACATGTATGGGCCTCTGAACCCCGTCAGCTTTGGTTTATGTTCCAATGCACAGTGCGGACACCATATGTCAGTGAATGTTCTAATCGAGGCATGTTAAATCTACAGTCATAGCATTATGTTGACCTCCCTAGCCGCAGACGAGTCCGGTCCCGTCGCATACCTGCAGGAGTGGTAATGTTTTGGTTGAGATGTTGATGCAATTTCTCAGAGGTGCACAATACGTCCTACAATAGTCAGGTGACAGCGAGGATCATTCAACACCGCGAGCATCCGACACCCGTTAACACACATCCAGTCCGGTGCCCCACCAAGCTGCGTTGGGATACAGCAGGTGCTGTTCACATGTGCACGCCTTTCCCAGCTGTCTCCGGCTCCACGGTGGCCAGCGGTGCTGCCATCTCTCCGCCAGTCAGCGGTGATAGGGACACGAAGTGCACGCACTGGTCGCGGTACGCGAGGTAAAGACGGCGCCACGGGCGCGCCATGCGCCGAGGAATCGCGGGGCGCGTGCTCCCGATAGCCTTGATGAGACCACTGTGGAACGTCACACGGCCGAGCTTGTCGGAGGTCGCGGGTGGGCACACTTCACTACACGGAGAGCGCCGCGCGACGGGCGACGGCGGCGGCGACGGCGGCGGCGGCGCCGGGCGGGTCACCAGCTCACATGGCGGCCGCCGGCACCTCGCGGCCGAACGAGGCCGGGCGCGCCGCGCCGTCCAGACCCAGGGCTGCGGCGGAGAAGGGCCGGTCACACAACGGCGGGCACACGGACCTGGCGACGGCAGCGCCATCTGGCAGCCGGCGGCAGACCTCGCGTCTGTCGCCGTCCACCACCGCCGCTTGGCGATCGGCGCCAGTCCGCCCCTCGCGCGCGAGCATGCGCTTAGAAGAAAGTCGGCTTGAATAACAAATGTGTTCAGCATCGTAGCCAGGGCAGAGCCTTAAGCAAAGGTATGGTGGAAGGGCTTAAAAAGCAGCTTGTAAAAACAGTTTGTACTTGTCTTGTAGTAAACATGACGTGCAGCATTTTGGCGTATATACTGCTTCAGGGTATATACTGTTTTCAAAGCAGCAGCATATACCCTGAGGAGAAGCCGGCAGTGGTGATACATCAGCACTCTCCCGCGCAACGCACACCACATGGCATGGCTATAAACACTGCTATATCGCCATTGATGGCACTTGCGCATAGCCAATCACGATGTCCTGACAAGCCAGACGCCCTAACACGTTTGTATCACCTCCAGACTTGTCTCAGCTTATGCTTGCTGATGTATGCAAGCACTCACCAGTCATGGCCTCCGACGCATAGAACTTTACGTCTATATCGGGGTCGGCGTTCAGCTTGTCCAAGATCGGCTTCACCTGAGACTGCACAGCACTGGAACAAGCAGCACCAGGTCAGACGCCGCGGGCACACGCGTGCCAGCGTGGTACGTTCCGACACACGTGTACTCAACTCTATCAACCCACACATGTGGAGCTACTACACCCCTGCATGTAGAGACGATGAAACAAAGCGAACTGACAGATATGGATGGCCTTGGTGCACAGGAAAAATGTGATCATGGAAGAATAAACACTAGCAACAACGGCCATCAATCTGCCGACACAAAAAAACAGCACACAACAGTGATCCTTCAAGCCCTACTGGGCGTTCGAGGCTCGCCAAAAACCTTTGCTGGTCGCCGCAACAGAGAAAGGCAGGAGTGCAAACACTGCGCTGAAGGCTCGCTCCGCTATCCCCGGGGGAAGAGCGGAGCGGGCACCCATGAAGTCGCGCAGAGCCTTACCCGGGCTCGACCACGGCGCACATCCGCTGCAGCGTCTTGGCCACGTTGAAGCGGACGTTGGCGACGTTGTCGTTTGCCATACCGAGCACGGTGGGCAGCATGAGCGAGAGCGTAACCTCGGCACCGCACGCCTCGGCCAGCACCTGCCCGGTGGCGGGGGAGGAGGTCAAACGTCATGGAGGGTGCTGGCCTAGAGGGAGCTGCGGACCAACACCTCGCCCCAGCCAGCACCTGCCCGGCGGCAGGGGAGGAGGTCAAACGTCATGGAGAGTACTGGCCCAGAGGGAGCTGCGGACCAACACCTCGCCCCGGCCAGCACCTGCCCGGCGGCAGGGGAGGAGGTCAAATGTCATGGAGAGTACTGGCCCAGAGGGAGCTGCGGACCAACACCTCGCCTCGGCCAGCACCTGCCCGGCGGCGGGGGAGGGGGTCAAACGTCATGGAGAGTACTGCCCCCAAGGGAGCTGCGGACCAACACCTTGCCCATGCCATCGCAACGTGGTTTGTTGTGCATTACGTATTCCGCTTCAAATGACGCACTGGATGATTAACTTTGCTGATGATTGGACACACTGTCAACAGGAGTGATGACATAAGAAATCAAATGTGGTAACCAACAGCCCAGTCCCAGTCCCAAACGAGTCCAGCAGTGAGGTTAAACAGCAGCTCGCCGTGTTTCTTCCCAGCGGCCAACGATAGGGTCACGTACCGCTCACGTGCGGCCAAGTCAGGGACTAAATGTCTCATACCCCGCGTGCGGAGAGGCGGCCATCAGCTCGCTTCACCCCAAACACCGGGCCAAGACGGCATCCCAACACTTCCAATCAGCACAGCACTGCTGCCGCCCAGCTGCTGCGGAGCAGCGCGGCAGACTCACATTGATGCAGAAGAGGCAGGTCATGCGGTGCAGGTAGTTCTGGTCGCGCGCCATGGCCACCACCTTGGGAATGACCGCGCTCTGGGCCCACTCGGAGCCGAACTTCTCCACCAGGCGGCGCAGGTTGACAGTGGCCGCGTCCCGTATGGCGAACACGTGGTCGATTAGCCACGTCATGCACAGCTGGCTGAGCTTCTCGTCGAAGAACTCGACGCCCAGCTGGCCGGCCAGCAGCGGCATGTAGTTGATGATGGCCAGTCGGACGCGCCACTTGGTGTCCTCGGCCAGCTCCACGATGGCCGGCAGCAGGGACTGGGACAGCTGGCGGCCGGGCGAGGCGTCAGGACCGCGCACTGAGACGGCGTGCGGCCGGAAACGCCGCACCGAGACAGCGTGCGGCCGGAAGCGCCGCACCGAGGCGACGTGCGGCCGGAGGCGCCGCGCCGAGACAGCGTGCAGCTGGAAGCGCCGCACCGCGACGGCGTACGGCCGGAAGCGCCGCACCGAGACGACGTGCGGCCGGAGGCGCCGCACCGCGACGGACGCAACCCACAGGCAGAAGAGACGCGCGCATGCTGACTGGCTGGTCCACTGGCCGACCGCGCCAGTACAGTGACGACACAAGCCCGCAAGAAGATCCGTTTGTCATGCTTCCGGACACAAAACAATGGGTTCGACTAGACCTACAATATCACTCGACTAAATCGAACACGGTGAAACTATTCGTGAGGTGATTTAGTGGACGAGCCAAGAGCCAGGCCTCCCGCAAAAGTGCACGCTTCTTCACGTACGCCGCCTTCCCTTCCCCCAGTTAACTGCACGCACCTGCTGGATGCCGATGACCTCATTGACACAGTCGACGTTGGAGATGATGTTGAGCCGGACTTCGGGGCAGTCGTCCTTCAGCTGCGTCAGGAAGAGCGGCAGCAGGTGCTCCACCGTGTTGTTCTTGCCCAGGATGGGCGACAGGCCCATGATGACGCCTGCCAGCGCCGACTTGACGTGCTGGTTGGCGTCCGTCACCAGCTCCTGCGGCGGCGAAGGGACGGCGACGGTCAGGTGCGCCTCGCAGGCGGCCACAAGGGGCGCCAACGGCGAGACTCGCGGGCCGACCGCAACCCCATCGATCATACGCCGGTCAGGGTCGACCCCGGCCGCCCCCCACCTCCACAAGGGGTGCCAACCGCGAGACTCGCGGGCCGACCGCAACCCCATCGGTCATGCGCCGGTCACGGTCGACCCCAGCCGCCCCCCACCTTCATGTTCCACACTACTTCATCAAACAAGCCACGTTATCAGACGTGAAACCACGGCGCGACGAGCCCGTGTGACGTACCCCGTCCCAGACACAGACCGCGGCTACAACGCAAGAGTCCAACGAGCTTGTGCAACGAGGCCCCAGCTGGTGACGTGGGCAAAGGCGGTCCACATATGGTCACATATGGTCACAAGGACATGTGGACGGTACCGCTGGACGGCCACAGGCGTTACCTCGCAACACGGCCATCACCTCACGTGCAACACTGCACACAAGGAAGGCGCAACCGCGGATGGGCGGGAGACCGACCTTGACGCAGGGCAGGATGTGCGTGACGATCTGCGTCTCGCGCGTCGTCATGTCCAGGTTGTCGCAGAAGTCCTTGACCTTCTGAGCGGCGGCGGCGCGCACCTCGGCCTCACAGTCCTTCAGCAGCGACTGGAAGGCCGGCACCAGGTCGGCGGTGGTGATGTCCGGACCCACGGCCAGTTGCAGCTCCGTGAAGTGGTCCGCCACCATGTACCTGCGAGCGACAGGCGCGGGTCAGGGCAGGGCACTCCGTGGCGACAAATCATTGCCTCTCCGGGGGCCGTTATTTTGAGATACGCCGACCTAAGAACTGGACGCGGGCCACCTAAACACAGACCCACCACTGCAAGCGGGCTGCCAGCGCCCAGTGTAACATCACGCGGGCGGGTGCGTGCGGGCGAGCCGTGCGCAGCGCGCCGGAAGCAGGCCGGCAGCCCAGCGTCTCTCACCTGACGCGCCAGGACTGGTCCTCGACGCACTGGCGGAGGGTGGGCATCAGCAGCTGCTCGACGTCGGTGCGTGCCAGCAGCGAGCCGATGCTGACGCATGCCTCCACCGCCAGCAGGCGCACAGAGTCCTAGCCGGGCGGACGGGCAGCTAGGTCAGAGGCGGGGACGGCCATCCATGACATACACAGACAGGGATAGGCCGCGGCCGGGCCGGCGGCCGCGCGTCGGACGGAGACGGGAGGGGGGCACCGGCCCCAGGCAGGCTGTCGTTCTCGGCGAGTCACAGCACGCACACGCATTGCAAGTCTAAGCATTACCCAGCCAGGGATGATTCCACAACGACCAACACCAGCCACCAGCCTGAAGCAGGCGAGGTAAAGACGCTCGGGAGTCCGAAGCTGACGGTTCGCACCTGCTCATCGCCGGCCAGGTCGGTGAACATGGGGATGACCTCGGATTTGAGGTGCTCGTTGGACACGACCTTGGCGAACTCGCCCAGCTTGCTGGCGGCGGCGCGGCGCACCATCGGAGTGTCGTCCTGGCACAGGTTGCGGAAGTTCACCCGCAGCTCGGCTGCAGGGCAGGCGCGAGGCGGCCGTCAAACAGCAGGTCGGCACAGGACTGGCGGCACGTGCTGCCTGGAGGGTCTGCAGGTCCACCTGTAGCTCAGCTGGGACACGCGGCATACGGACCTCATGACGCCCTCATAGCCTCCCAGTACAGTTTGGGCGCCATATGACCAATGTAGTCGGTGCGCCCCAAAGCCCAAATCATCATCATCATCATCATCCCAGTACAGTTTGAGGATGGTTCTCCAACAACCTCGCTGGGGTCTGCTGGGTAGTCCAGCAATCGTAAGTCACAAAATGGGGCATAATACCATCAACATCAGATGGCATAGACACCGCCAGCGCGCCGTTATACCTTAAACAATCACGTGACTGCGCTGGCACCAGAAGCTGCAGCACACAAAATGCAGCTATCTCCTCTTCACAAAGTCATCAGAAGAGCTTACCTGCATCTCAGGTGGTGAGGTGTATAGTGTAGATGGTGTAGATGCCAGCAAAAAACGTGCATCATGATTTAAAACCACACCACCTCCTCTCACCTTTGAGCTTGTCGTTGACGCATGGGTAGCAGACGGCGAAAAGGCCGCAGCTGGAGGTGCGGGAGGTGAACCAGTCACCCGAGGCCAGCCGCTTTACCAGTGGCACAAAGTGCACCTCCAGGTCGCCAGAGGTGTGGTGGTTCGAGACAGAGCGCAGCGACTCCACCGCCTTGTCGCGCACCACCGTCTCCTCCACCTGGGCCAGAGACTCCAGTGCTGGCTGCACAGGATGGTCATAGCATGGTCACATGCTGCGGTAACAGGCAGTGCCTGGAGCCACCAGAAACTGACCAAGCCCACTCAGAGTGGGGCAGTCCAGAAACAAGTAACAGCAGAGCAAGATCATCATGAATCTTTAAATGTTCATATACCAGTTGGTCCATTTAGAAGGTAAGACCATCAGGTGCACAATGTATGGAATGAACTCATAACCCAGTGTAAAATAATCCAAATGAGCAACTCTGAATCTCAACATAAATAATCACATACAATTTTGTCCTCCATAATCCTACTTTCTTCCACCTTCAAAATTATCTATCATGCCCTTCTTGAAATAATAAAACCAAACACACCTAAAGCATATGACAGCTTTGTTAAATGTTGTTTTGCAAGATAAGGCAAGAAGCCAGCCTACAAAGATATCAAATTATGCACCTAAATCAGCTAGGCAAACACAACTTTGTTATTCTTGAAGGGGGCCAGCACCATTAGTGTGCAAAACACAAGAAGCTGAATTTAAGCATACCAAATCCACTCACCAGAAGACAGAAGACATATTCTGATCCTCCAACTAACTTTGTGAAGTTGCCTAGCTGCTCAGCCAGGGCAAGAAGCACTTCATCCTCATCATAAATAGTCTCAGTGAGAAAAGGAATCAGCTCATTCCTGGTGCGCTCAACACCCAGAGCCAGTGCAATTGTTGACAGCTTCTTTACAGAGTTTAACCGCAGCTGAAAATGATACAGGCCAGTTATCAGTTGTGAAGCACAGATCAAGTCATGACAGAAAGAGGTGTATTTTAGATGAGCTTCCTTGAAAGGGTGAATGACAACACAGCTAGCGGGAAATTGGCAGTGCATTTACTGTCTTTCACTTCCATGTGGTGGATGCAGGTTCACAAGCTGGTTGTACCATGCATCTATGGTGACTTCACAATTCAATCCAGAGTGCCATCTTGACTTGCAAATCTGGCTTGAAGAGATGGAGTTCCAAAAGTCCTGCTTCCAAAAACTCATCAACTCTTTGCTTTACCTTGGGCAATATTTTAAAATAAACATGTGCTGATGAAAGTTGCCAAGATTTCCTTCAAAAACCAGCAATGAGGCTATTTCTACCTTGAGCCTTGACTGATTTATGACTTCACCCTATGATGGGGGGACAGGCTTCTAAGTAATCTATAATCATGCAGAATGTGGCATTGAAAAGCTCCTGCAAAAACTTCTAGCAGATACTTCTTAAAAGCTTAAAATGTCCACCAATGTAAAATCACTGTCATTTAGAGAAATACAGATGAGAACAAGTAAAAACGCATAACCACACTGCAACAATACCAATGCATTTTATTAAAGGAGAACAATTATTTGAAAACTGAGGTTGCCTTATCCCAAATACAGTTCGATGCAAGCACGTCGCTGGTTCGCAGCCACCTAAGTTCTTAAATTACAATTGCATGCCTCATACCTAAATTGTGACAAAATTAACAAAGCAACCCATGAGCCCGCTCCGCAATTCAGAATGCAACGTTTAAGACGAAACATACGCATCAAGTACCTCACCTGAACGTCTTCATTTCGAAGCTCGTCGATCAGAACTGCAATCGGGTAAAGAGATTCATCACCCGCACTATCTGTTCCTGACATTGCTGCAGCGACTTGTAAAACTCTTAACAAAGCTGGACTCCACCACGAACCCTGACTCAACCGCCCTCACCCGCTGCAAAACTACCCGAGCGTCGGAATCAAGGAGCAGAATATTTCCCGCATTAAGGATCGGGCATTGAGTCCCCCAAAGTCCCGAACTGGAGCTTTTGTCATCCCATATTTTTTGCGTCATGCTGTTTATATAGGCTGGTTTTGTGTAAAATATTTCTGTATCCACTTACAACTGCATTTTTAAACCATAGTTTAATTATTTTTATGAAAAAAGAAAAATTAACTCATAGTTTTGAGACTTATAGAAATGACGTCAAAACCTAACGCCTCGGTTTTTGTCCCAATCTCTTAGTCACCAGCAAATCAGTAAGAATGTTGAAATTCGTTCTGACGGTTGTTTCTGCCGGTGCATATCTACACGATTGAACACAGGGTTATGTCTGTCGAGGCAGTTTAGCCATATGAGCCCTAGGAAGCAATGTCAATAGTCCCATTTCGTTATTTTCGAAGATATCAGTGCGTTGAACGCCAACGCATGCTGACCGGTTTCGTTAAATCGCTGGAACCTGGCGGCGAGTGGGTAGTGAGTACCAAGTAGAGACTAAAGATCGACGGTGTCTTACGTGCAAGTTTTAATGCATTTAACTAGCTCAACACCTTTGTGGTTGGTCGAGGCGTCTGGCGAAAGTTTGGCGTTTTGCTCTCGTTCTAGTATGATTGGTGTCCTGAGTGTACGCATCATTTGCTGAGCTGTGGCTGTGAGCTGTGGTCGACCAGAACCCTCCATAGCCACGTTGTTTGGCAAGCGCGTTGACAGCGTGGCACCAGCAGTAATTATCGCCCGCAGAAGAACCAACGAGCCGTCATGTCATACGATTCAGATGAGCAGCCTCTCAGTGACCTCGCACAGTGTGTCTGGGACTACATCCGGTCGCGTCAGTGGGAGCCGGTGCTGGACGTGGACCATGACGGACAGCGCTTCCCCTCCGCGCCACAGGCAGCGCGACCGGCCAGACGCTCCCACTCAGCAAGCCAGCCTGTTAACCCTCACCGGTCCGCCGGGCGCAACTGGCCGCCCAGTTGCCGACCGAGCCAACGGTGGACGGACGCCGGTGCCGAGGATCGGGCCGCCGGTCCACGCCGCGACATATACTTCCGAGTCGGCGCTGGAGGTGACACGGCCACCGACCCGGCGCCGTCCGCGCGCCGAAGCACCTGCACCTGGTCCGATGCGGCCAGCGTTGCCTCAGCAGCCGGGCTGGGGCTGCCGCGGCATACGAGTACGCCGGCCGTGGCGATGGTGGCGCCGCCCAGCGTCGCCGACGATATCATCTCGGCGAGCCGGAGCCAGCTGCGCCGCTTCCAACGCCAGCGCCGCCGTCCGCTGGTCAAGCGGTCGACGGACGACGAGGCGGCGGAGCTGCGTCACCTCTCGCCGCCGGGGCGGGTCGCTGCCGGAGCGGGCGAACCTCCGCCGGAGGATCGCGGCAGCTGGCGGCGCGCTGGCGGCACGCTCGGTCGATGTCAGACACCCGCTCGTGGTCCCACGGCCGGGGATACGGCACCGAACGCCCAGGGAGTAAAAAGTGCGGCGATGCCTGCGCCAGCCCCGAGCATCGGCGGCGGAGCACCGAGCACAGGACAGACGCCGGCAAGTCGAATCCCTGTGTTCGAGTCTGCGGCAGCAAGTTCATCATCGCCTCGTGTCGCGCGTGCTTCGCCCCGTGCACCGAGTCGACCGTCGAGTGTCCAGCGGGAGATGCCGCGTTTCTCGCTGTTTTCGCCATTCGCCTCGGCCGTGTCGCCGCCAGTCGCCAGCGGCTCGGGGGAGACCCCGGCGTCTCCCGGAGACGGCGAGCATCTCCAGGAGCTGTCCGAGGAAGTGCCTGGTTTGGGCACCACTGGCGGCCTCGGGGAAGCCGCCTCATCGTATGTTCCTGAGAGGGCCGCCTCTTCCGACGAGCACGCGGCGGCTGTCGCCAGACCTCCATCGGACTCGAGACCCGCCAGCGAGTCTTCCTCGGGTACCGACAGCGCGGCCGACCGATGGGCGGAGCCGGAGGTGGACGCCGATCAGCTGATGCTGTCGCAGAGCACAGTTGCCGGCGAGGTGAGCCGACTCGTCAATGCCGCCGTGCTGTCTCCCCGCAGGACAGTGACGCCAGGGTCCGGCCCGACCGGGCGCAGCTCCCCTGGCAGCGGCCGCCGATTCAGACACTCGCCGCAGCTTTCGGCTGATTCCAGCCGAGCGAGAGGGTCGGACGCGCGGCGGGCGGGCCGGAACGCGCATGCTGGGGCAAGGGCCGGCGACGGCGGCAACGGCAGCGACAAAGAAGCCGCCAATCGTCAGGAGTGGCCGTCAGTACGCTGGTCTCCACGCGGCGTCCAGGCGAGCTCGGAGAAGAGCCCACTCCATGGTGTGAGTCACGCGGCAACAGGGGACAAATTGCCGGAGCCACAGAGCACACGCTGCGGACGCGGTCCGAGCGAAAAGGCCGACTCGGAGCTGATGCGGCCGCCGCTGCAGCCGGTGTTCCGCGGCCGCCGCGTGAGGAAGGCGCGACCACACGGCCTGGCGCCCACACCAAGCGAGCACGCCGCCGCGCCCGTGTCCCCACAACTCGGACCTGCCAAGGACGATCGCGGCCAGGCCTCGAGCAGTCCACAGAGCGGCAGCCCGGCAGCGGCGGCAGACCAGCCAGAGAAGCGGCCCTCGCCGACCCCCGCCGCAGCCGCCGTCAAGCGTCGCTTGCAGGCGCCGCTGCGACCGCCGGCGCCTGGCGCCCCGGCCGTCACCACGTTAACGGAGGCGGAGACACACCTGCTCGTCGCGGCGCTGAGGGACCCGGCCGTCACCTGCGTCTGCCTCTGTCTGGAGCACAGCAACGGTGGCAGTCAGCTGCGGCCGACGGCCGAGGGCCGGGCGGCGGCCGCGGCGCGTCCCACCGGCCTGGTGGGCGCTGTCAGCGGCGGACCACTCGCGGGCCGGCTGCTGCGGCTGCGGCCGGACGCGCTGTCGGCCTCTGCACTGGCCGACGCGGCCGGCGCGCTGCTGGCCGGGCCCGGCCGGCGCGTTTGCTGCGGCGCGCGCGAGCTGCTGCTGTTCGCACTCCAGCGTTGCGGCCTTGCCCCGGCCGACGGCGTACGGCTGTGGCGGCCGCGCGACCTGGCCGTGGCCGCCTGGCTGCTCAGTCCCGACCAGCCGCCGGCCTCGTTCGCCGCGCTGCTCGGCTCGCTGGGCGTGCCGGCGACGCGGGACGCCACGCTCAGCAGGCAACAGCAGCTGGCGCTCGATCTATCGCAGCTGGCGGCAGCTGACGAGAAGCTGACGGAGCGGCTGCGCGCCGCCGGCCTTCTCACGCTGTTCGAGCACGTCGAGGCGCCGCTGGCCGCCGTGCTGGCCGCCATGGAGGCACGCGGCGTGCGCGTGGACGTGGCGCGCCTGCACGAGTCGTCGGCCGCCTGCCAGCGGCGGCTGCGCTGGCTGGAGGCAGCCGCGCACCGCGCCGCCGGCACCGTCTTCTCGCTGGCGTCACCGGTTCAGCTGCGCCGCCTACTGTACGACCAGCTGCGTCTGGACGAGCGCTGCGGCCGGCCGGCGCCGCTCACTGAGCGCGGCCTCAAGTCCACCTGCGAGGTGGCGCTGCAGCGGCTGGGCGACACGCACCCGCTGCCCGGCCTGTTACTGCAGCACCGGCGCGTGCACAAGCTGAAGACAGCGTACGTGGACGGCGTTCTGAGCCAGGTGCGCGGCGGCGCCGTGTTCCCTCGCTGGCTGCAGACGGCCGCCGCCACGGGCCGCGTGCAGACGGCCGCGCCCAACCTGCAGTCGGTGCCGCGCCGGCCGCTGCCGCTGCGCCACGACGATGCCGACGACGAGAAGGTGATCCTGGCGCGCGCGCCGTTCGTGGCGCGCGCCGACCACACGTTGCTGGCGGTCGACTTCTGCCAGATGGAGCTGCGCCTACTGGCACACCTGGCCGGCGACGTGCGGCTGATAGCGGCCATCCGGGACGCGCCCGGTGGCGACATCTTCCGCCAGCTGGCGGCGCTCTGGGCCGACACGCCGGCGGCGGCGGTCACGGACGAGCAGCGCGAGCGCACCAAGCGCGTGGTGTACGCGGCGATGTACGGCGCGGGCCGTGCGCGGCTGGCCGAGGTGCTCAGCTGCGTACCGGAGCAAGCGCAGCATGTGCTGGACAGCTTCCTGGCGCGCTGTCCGGCCATCGCCGGCTTCAGTCGGGGTGTGGTGGCCGACTGCCGGAGGGATGGGTTCGTCGCCTCGCTGCTCGGCCGCCGCCGCTGGATGGCCGGTATCGCCTCGACGCAGCCGCAGGTGGGTCGGGACGGGCCGCTGCCGGGCGCGCACCGACTGGCAGCCGACATTTACCTGCGGTGTGGCGCTCCCTAGTTCCGCTAGTGCATGCGTGTCCACACCCACGTCCGTGAATACGGGTGTTCCGGTGATCCGTTAATGAGCCGGTGCAGAGGGCTGTGTGGAGCTATGTCTAGATTCGACACATTTGATGGCTTCGGGCGTGTCCGCGGCTGGTCGTTGGCTGACATGTGGGACGTGTGTGGCCGCGGCTGTCGTGAGCTGAACGGGGCCGGTGACGGTCGCCGGCCGTTGGCTGGCCGTCAGCATCGCCGTCGTCCCCGTCAGCCGACGATCGTGACCTGACGGTGTCGTCAGTCGGCCTGGCCCGGCCCGGCCCGAAGCCAGTGTGGTTGGCTGACCCGTCCCTGCCACCCTGACCGGCCCGTCCCGGCTCGGAGCCAGTGTGGTCGGCTGACCCATCCCCGCCACCCTGACCGGCCCGTCCCGGCCCGGAGCCAGTGTGGTCGACGGACCCGTCCCCGCCACCCTGACCGGCCCGTCCTGGCCCGGAGCCAGTGTGGTCGGCGGACCCGTCCCCGCCACCCTGACCGACCCGTCCCGGCCCGGAGCCAGTGTGGTCGGCTGACCCACCCTGATCGGCCCGTCCCGGCCCGGAGCCAGTGTGGTCGGCTGACCCATCCCCGCCACCCTGACCGGCCCGTCCCGGTCCGGAGCCAGTGTGGTCGGCTGACCCATCCCCGCCACCCTGACCGGCCCGTCCCGGCCCGGAGCCAGTGTGGTCGGCTGACCCATCCCCGCCACCCTGACCGGCCCGTCCCGGTCCGGAGCCAGTGTGGTCGGCTGACCCATCCCCGCCACCCTGACCGACCCGTCCCGGCCCGGAGCCAGTGTGGTCGGCTGACCCATCCCCGCCACCCTGACCGACCCGTCCCGGCCCGAAGCCAGTGTGGTCGGCTGACCCACCCTGACCGGCCCGTCCCGGCCCGCCCCGACAGGTGCGCAGCCAGGCCGAGCGGCAGGCGGTCAACTTCCGCGTGCAGGGCTCGGCGGCCGACGTCTGCAAGCTGGTGATGCTCGCCGTTAGCCGGGCGGCGCCCGACGTGCCGCTGCTGGCCCAGCTGCACGACGAGCTGCTCTGGGAGGTGCCGCGCCACCGGCTGGACGCCTTCCGCGCGCTGGTCGGCCGCGAGCTGGGCCGGTTGGAGACGCTGTTGACCGCCGCCGGCCGGCCCGGCCCGCTGCTGGTGCCTCTGCCCGTCGCCGTCACGACCGGCCAGTGCTGGGCAGACATGCAGCCGCTGCTTGAGGAGGGCGGCCGGCCCGTCACCGAGGGCGACGGGGCGGCGGTGTGAACGGGCAAGGTTTTGTTACTGACGTTGGCCGGTGCTGCAGAAGTTTGGTGTTCGTCAGGCGGTGGTGTTGGGTTACTCGCTTGCTGCTGATTTGGTGTTTCATCGATGGCGTTTAAATAGAGGCGGTGTATTAGTGCAATTACCTCCCCTGATTCAGCACAGTCTTCAATCATGGCCATACTAATACACTTTACAGAGCACACCTGGTGTCCTCACATCGACCGACGTACAGCAACAGCTCGGCTCGCACAGATTAAAATGACATGGCCATGTAGCATTGCAATCAACACCGACATCGAGACCGGCGCCGCCCGCCCGTTATTATCACTGGAATGACAGAGCTCCGCAAAACACGCGAGTGATTTGTTAGAATGCCATCAGTCACGACTTCCGCCCACCGCTCGTCGCCTCGAGACCCTGGGCGACCACCGAGCCCGGACTTCCGGCCACCAGCGGCGATCACGTCGCTACCCGTCACAATACTGCCGCCGGCTGCGATCACAACCTCACTGACGCTGCTCCGGGCCGCGACGGTGTCTCGCGAGGCGGCGGCGCGCCCCGACTGCCGCTCCAGCCGGCGGCGGTCCTCGGCCGTGGCGGCGTGCCCCCAACTGCCGCTCCAGCCGGTGGCGGCCCTCACGGCCGCGACGGCGTCCCGCGGGGCGGCGGCGCGCCCCCGACTGCCGCTCCAGCCGGTGGCGGCCCTCACGGCCGCGACGGCGTCCCGCGGGGCGGCGGCGCGCCCCCGACTGCCGCTCCAGCCGGTGGCGGCCCTCACGGCCGCGACGGCGTCCCGCGGGGCGGCGGCGCGCCCCCGACTGCCGCTCCAGCCGGTGGCGGCCCTCACGGCCGCGACGGCGTCCCGCGGGGCGGCGGCGCGCCCCCGACTGCCGCTCCAGCCGGCGGGCGGTCCTCACGGCCGCGGCGGCGTCCCGCGGGGCGGCGGCGCGCCCCCGACTGCCGCTCCAGCCGGCGGCGGTCCTCATGGCCGCGGCGGCGTCCCGCGGGGCGGCGGCGCGCCCCCGGCTGCCGCTCCAGCCGGCGGCGGTCCTCATGGCCGCGGCGGCGGCAGGAACCGGTCCAGCGTGGCTGCGTAACTGAAATGAGCGATCACCGGCCATCAGCGGGGGAGGGCGGAGTGACCCCCGAGTAACGGTAATGGAACGCTTTAACAAATAGCACGACGCATATTGTATATGTCCCACATCCCAATGTCAACAATCTGTTGCAATTTAAGGACACTACATCATGAGTGCTCACGCTCGTGCGAACATGGAGCTGACAGGAGAAGCAAGGCATCTGGAACAAGCACGGAACAGACGTGAGTAGCGCGGCATCTGAAACTCCAGCATGACGGAACGAAGCAAGACACGCACTTCTCTAGGATACCAGCGCAGCGACCCCCCAAACCGACTCATGGGGTCACCATCGTACCCTGGGGCGGCCGTTCAACCGTCGGACACCCCCGCCGCTGGGACGTCCCCACCGACCGCCGAGGACCGACCGCCCCAGAGTAAGCCGCTCGTCCCCTCGACGGCCAGGTGGGGAGCGCGGTGCTGAATACGTGCCGCCGCCCATCCGCACGTCATTTCCACACGCTACCCTCTGGATTCCACCCCACGGCTTCCCTCCACACGCGCTTCCCACCTGGGGTTGAAGTTCTCCACGCGTCCGCGGAAGATGCCCGGTCCGAGGAGGGCGGACAGCTGCTCGGCGCAGCAGCGCGCCGCCTCGGCCGTCAGCTGGTTCTCGCACGTCTGCCGACCCCGGCGCCGGTCAGACGGCAGCCGAGCACTCCACGGCGGGGTTATACAGACACAGACCACCGGCGAGGGCCCGCAGCAGTCGGCACTGCCCGTGCACATACAAAAAAGAAGAAGCGCTCCCATCACGGCACGCTCAGGCCGACCGCAGAGGTAGAGTGATCACGGTGTGGGGAGAGCTTTCACATATTGGCCCAGGGCACGTACACGCCGACAGGCAATGTGCAGGTACGGAGCCCAGCGTACAGCTCGCGCAAGGCCTCTGTAGGGCAGCCAGTCGAACAAAACATTCAATCGTTCAAAACATGCGGCGCTCAGTCGCTCCATATCACGATGTTGAATACTGCACATGCCGCCTATCCACACAAGTGGACGCTGCTGTTGCGGCGTCGGTGGCGGGCGGGCCCACCGTCCACTGACCAGGGCATACAGCAGCGTGTCGAGGAACAGCTCCAGGTGCTGCTTGAAGGGCCGCTTGCCAAGTCCGGCGGCCACCGGCGGCAGAGCGCGGCACACCGTCTCCACCAGGTGCACGTGGTGGGCGTAGTGTCGGTGGGCGGCGGCCGACGCCACCAGCGGCAATGCGGCGGCGACGGCGGCGCCGCAGCCGGCCACCGCCGCCAGTTCGGCCACCAGCCGTACGGAGCTGTCGGCAAGGCCGGGTGTGCCGGTCAGCGGCGATGGAGGCGGGCCGGGGCCCCGGGACCGCGGCCGGCCGGGGCTCCTGTGCGGCCATCAGCTGAGAGGGGTAACGCGAGCCCCGACGTCGGCTCTTGACCGGGCTAACTGACCGGGCAGCAGTCCGGTTAGTGTTCAGTCAGGAGCGGTGACGGAAAGCCATACAGACACCAGTTAGCTGAAGGGGTCGGTCTGAGGAGACGGTCAGAACAACTGGGCCCTATACCCGGTGAGTCAGCTAAAGTCGGCGACTCGGAAAACTGCGTTGGGAAAATGTGTCTTGGCCCGAGGACATGACTCTATGCCTCCCATTATGACCATTGACCATTACCATTACCCCAATCCATGACATGACATGACATGACCATTACCCCAATCACTGCCTTGTTCCCGGCCTCTCAGCGTCGCGCCCTCCCCTCCAGCTCGCTGCCGGTCACTGACCCGTCAGCCGCCTCCCAGGGTTGCGTCGGGCGCCGCAGGTGGTGGCTGGCCGAACAGCCGCCCGCCGACAGCTTGGGAGCCAGCGAGCCGCACGAGTACATCTGCAGGCCAGCGGTGGGCGTGAGGGGCGGGCGGCAGCAGGAGCGGCGGGGGCACGCCAGACGCTGGCACAGCCCGGTGTCAGCGGCGCTGGGAAATTTATCCCACGGACGAACGGTGGCGAATACCGCGCACTGGTTGTTTGAGCAGAATGCTGCAACAGCTTTAATTTGTCCAGCATTGTAACCATTCCAAGAAGAACGCCTGAGGCTCGAATCCCGCATCCCCGCTCACACCGAAGACGCACGACTAATGACAGCGACCTGCTTGTCGGTGTGGAGATCCATGTCGTTATCGCGCTGCCGCTTCACGACGCCGTAGGTGGCGGCGACGCCCTCCATCTCGGTGTAGCGCTCCGACTCGTTGGGCTGCTGGCTGACCGATGTCAGATCCTGCCGCACCCTGGCGGCATACCGGCAGTCGGGAGTCTGGGCCTGGAGCTCCGGAGCGTGTCGGGGTTGACACGGCCGAACCAAGCGGCGCGGTGACCGAACTACAGAGGCGCCCAGCACGCTCCGCCACACGCGGTGCGGTGACCGAGCCACAGAGGCGCCCAGCACGCTCCGCCGCACGCGCCGCGGTGACCGAGCCACAGAGGCGCCCAGCACGCTCCGCCGCACGCGGTGCGGTGACCGAACTACAGAGGCGCCCAGCACGCTTCACCATACAGCTAGAGCGGACGGGAGCCGTGAGGGACGCTGACGTGCGCAATTAGCGCTCATCACAAACAATCGCCTCAGATGCAGTCAGAAGAAGTGTGTTAGGCTCTACTCAAACTTGAAGGCAGTGCCAGTATTTATGTCAGGCAACGTCAGCGAAATCTGGATAATTGTTGAATGTCCAAGCCAAGGCAACCATGTTTTTCATACCGCAACATCAAACGTGAAAACAGGCGTATTTTCCAGTCCACGGACTGAGGATGATGACGGTGCCGATGAAGCCGTACCTGTCCATGACCCTGTCCACGGCCTCGGCGCCGTACGCGCGGACGGCCAAGGCCAGCGCTTCGGCGCCGCCCTGGCGCACCGACGGAATATTGTCGTGCAGGTTCGCGAACAGCAGCGGGTAGAGCCGCGGCAGGTAGGGCCGGCACGGCTCGGGGAACGCCGCCAGCAGCTTGCCCACCGCCAGACAGGCGGCTGGAACACGGCGGAACGCGCTGTACACGACCGGGCAGGCGGCTCAAGTCCGGGGAACGGGCTAAACCAGGGCCAGACAGGCGGCCAGTGTGCAGGCGAACAGGCCATCCCAGTCCGACACGCAGACCGGGTGTATGAGACCGGGTTGCCAAATGTAGACCTCCTGTCACTGCGCAGCAGCTGCGGGGACCGAATGCCACACACACTGCTTGCAAAATGTTTGAAGGAACGCCAAACCAGCACCGTTCCCGGTGTTGAATCGGCAGGATCATGACCGCCTACTCCGGCCGAGGCAGATTCCGACCACCATCCCCACAGACAACCAGCCAAACACCGGCAGCAGCTGCTGTTGCACACAAGACACCGGCGCACTGACTGTCTCTGACGGGCCAGCTGTCGTCTTCGAAGCAGACCAGCAACGCCTCGAGCAGGGAGAGCGCGTGTGGCGCCAGCGCCGCCGCCGGCAGCTTGCGCGTCAGCTCGCTGACGCAGTAGCAGGCGGCCTCGCGCACGGCGTGGTTCTCGGCGCCGCTCGCCGACAGGTAGTAAGCCACCTGCGGCCGACGGACGGCATTGAGTCACGGTCGGTCGGCGCAGCGGCCCGCCGGTAAATAACGCACGTGCAACAGTCTTGCAGAGCTCCGTTTCGCGTGTGTGCGAAGACACGAGCACCACGGCCCGTAAGTGGCCAACACTGTACCGCTTGTAATTACAGTCGGATTGCCATAAGTCGATAATAATAATAATAATAATAATAATAATAATAATAATAATAATAATAATAATAATAATAATAATAATAATAAAAATAACCATTATTATTATTACTATTATCATTATTATTATATTATTATAATGGTTGGATGATCGAACACGGCCGCTCAAGCGAGGATTTTCCAAACCCACGGATATTTTATCAATTACACGCCTTAACATTATCCTGAAAGACTGCGCTCCACCAGCCGCCCATGACTCAGGAGCAACGAGTCTGCAGTCTTACCACATCGTTGATGTACTTCTGCACCAGATCCTTGCCACGCAGTCCGGCGATCATCTCCCAGGTGCGCTGGTTGTAGATCTTCACCCCTTCCGCCACGTAGTACCTGTCGAGAGCACGCAGTCAGGATCGATTGGGAAAAGCCTCCGGAGTTTCGCCGCCGTCCATAAAAGTGGGGCTTTGGGTTCGTGCGATGCGCTGACGAACCGGCACCAGGCGTGCTGGGGTAAAAAAAGGATAGTAGGTAGGTTCGGGCGTGATGTACATCTGGGTTGCCTGTTTCGGTCGGCCTGTCATCGGATCAGACGAAAACTGGCATTTCGACTGATGACATAATGACTGTGAGATAACTTGATGTGAAAATCAACATCTGAGCCTATGTTGTGAGCTCAATCTTCCACAGCCCTTAGAAACAGGACAGGCTCATCAACAGTCCGGTCTTGGCCTGCTTCAGTCTCTGATGTACTACGCATCACGGGATCATACGCGTGGAAAATCTGTAACAGTCGGTCCCCAGTCCACAAGACGGGTCGGATTCACCAACACCACCATCCGCCATCATCAACCCGCCACAGCCCCGGCCAAACGCCACCATCCGCCACCACCAACCAACCGCGTCCCTGGCCCAACATCACCAACCCGTCACAGTCTCGGCCCAACGCCACCATCCGCCACCACCAACCCGCCACAGCCCCGGTTCAACACCACCAACCCGTCACAGCCCCATTCCAACACCACCAACCCGCCACAGCCCCGGCTCAACACCACCAACCCGTCACAGTCCCATCCCAACACCACCAACCCGCCACACCCCGGCCTAACATCACCACCCGTCACAGCCCGGCCTAACACCACCATCCGTCACAGCCCGGCCTAACACCACCATCCGCCACAGCCCGGCCTAACACCACCATCCGTCACAGTCCCAACCCAACACCACCATCCGCCACAGTCCTATCCCAACACCACCATCCGTCACAGTCCGGCCTAACACCACCATCCGTCACAGCCCGGCCTAACACCACCATCCGTCACAGCCCGGCCTAACACCACCATCCGTCGCAGCCCCGGTTCAACACCACCAACCCGCCACAGCCCGCCCTGACACCATCATCCGTCACAGCCCGGCCTAACACCACCATCCGTCACAGCCCCAGCTGCGTGAGCTGACGGCGCAGCTCTGCGTGAGGCGTGTCCGGCCGGCCGCACCTGCTGAGGCAGATGCGGGGCAGCAGGGAGGGCAGGTGGCGCTCCCTCTCCTCCGGAGTCAGGCCGCATAGGAAGCGGCGCGCCGCCACCGACGCCGCCATCCGCACCTGCCGGTTGGCACGGCCGGGGGCTCGGCGTCACATGCCGTCCCACGCCGGCACTGGCCGGGGGCTGTCCGCACACGCACACACATACGCACAAGCACAGACGCAGCGGCCGTCGCCGGAGGGGGTCAGTGGTCTGCAAACGCACATCACCAACAGCGTGGCTCGACACTGTTACACCTTATGTTTGGCCAGGGCACGTCAATCCAACCTAAGGCAACCACCGGAACTAACAGCGCACTTCTCAGGGAGACCGGTGTCCGCGAACACCCAATGGAACCAGCACCGCGGGACTCGCAAGTGTACGTCAAAACGCGCCACAGTCAGCAGTCAGAGCGTGCCGTAGTCAGCAGTCAAAGTGCGCCACGGTCAGCAGTCAGAGCGTGTCGCGGGAGGTCAGGGCGTGTCGCGGTCAGCAGTAAGCGCGCCGCGGTCAGCAGTCAGAGCGTGCCGCGGGAGGTCAGAACGCGCCGCGATCAGCAGTCAGAGCGCGCCACGGTCAGCAGTCAGAGCGCGCCACGGTCAGCAGTCATAGCGCGCCGCGGTCAGCAGTCAGAGCGCGCCGCGGTCAGCAGTCAGAGCGTGTCGCGGGAGGTCAGGGCGCGCCACGGTCAGCAGTCAGAGCGTGCCACGGGAGGTCAGGGCGTGCCGCGGTCAGCAGTCAGAGCGCGCCGCGGTCAGCAGTCACAGCGTGCCGCGGGAGGTCAGGGCGTACCGCGGGAGGTCAGGGCGTGCCGCGGGAGGTCAGGGCGCGCCGCAGGAGGTCAGCAGACAGGGCGGTACAGCCGGAGTCAGCAGCAATCCCGGCGGTCCGGCGCCTCGGACGCCGTGCCGGGCGGCTCACCTGGCTCCAGTTGTCGTCCAGGCCCCGGGCCACGGCCGCCGACAGCTGGTCGCCGAACGCGTACGCCCCGCAGGAGTCGCGGTCTGACACGAACACGGTCAACCGGTCAGTGAGCGTGCGCGTCCGGCACGACAGCGCGTGACGCGTAAAGAAACCCGACAGCGCTGCTTGGGGCAAACGGGCTATTTAATTTTCGGGCTGATCACTCTTGTTTCGCCCCGTGTTTCGACATTCATGCCGAAAAACGGAGATAACACAAGGGTGATATGTTGGTCTGCGTACATGCTTTAAGATGTTAAAAAATGTAAAACAGCTACAGCTCACAACCATCACATTTGTCCTCCCCGTTGGCTCAGGTGGCAAGAGCACCTACTGCCGTCTGATCCACGCGCTCGTGGCGGGGTGGACTCGAGTCGCTTTATCGCTTTAGGCGTTCGCTATTTGCCCTTGATAGATATGGCCTGCGGCCGGTGGGAGCGGCAGCGCTGAAGGCCAGATGACGTCAGAGGGCGGGACGGATCGTGCCGAGCATTGCGGCACGTTAAACTTCCGCCACCAAATTATGCCGTTGAATTGAAATTGCGCGATCGGATGGTAGGAGTCAGGGGTCACACAACAATCACTGCTTAGCATGAGTTCCGAGCGCAGAAATTCATGCATTCAAAAGATGCGGATAAACTCTTGATAATTTCGTTAAAAAACGTCTTTTGCGCTTAGTTTCTAACTTCGCTATATTGCATAACATATCCTCACATCTCACACATCATGAAAACATGCATAATATGCGGGACACCTGCCTGCCGTGATCAGCCACAGACGGCCCCAGGCCGGCCCCAGCACCACCAGCGCAGCCCCATCCGGCGACCTGGCCCGTCTCACGTCAGCGCTGTCACCCGCCGCGACCGATACTGACCGCTCTCCGGGTCCCCGCCGCGACCGAGACTGACCGCCCTCCGGGTCCCCGCCGCGACCGAGACTGACCGCTCTCCGGGTCCCCGCCGCGACCGAGACTGACTGCTCTCCAGGCCCCCGCTGCGACCGAGACTGACCGCTCTCCGGGTCCCCGCCGTGACCGAGACTGACCGCTCTCCGGGTCCCCGCCGCGATCGGGACTGACCGCTCTCCGGGTCCCCGCCGCGACCGAGACTGACCGCTCTCCGGGTCCCCGCCGCGACCGAGACTGACCGCTCTCCGGGTCCCCGCCGCGACCGAGACTGACCGCTCTCCGGGTTCTCACCGCGACAGAGACTGACCGCTGTCAGGGTCCCCGCCGCAACCGAGACTGACCGCTCTCCAGGTTCTCACCGCGACAGAGACTGGCCGCTGTCGGGGTCCCCGCCGCGACGGAGACTGACCGCTCTCCGGGTCCCCGTCGCGACCGAGACTGACCGCTCTCCGGGTCCCCGCCGCGACCGAGACTGACTGCTCTCCGGGTTCTCATCGCGACCGAGACTGACCGCTCTCCGGGTTTTCACCGCGACTGATGCTGACCGCTCTCCGGGTTCTCATCGCGACCGATACTGACCGCTCTCCGGGTTCTCATCGCGACCGATACTGGCCGCTCTCCGGGTTCTCATCGCGACCGATACTGACCGCTCTCCAGGTTCTCATCGCGACCGATACTGACCATTTTCCGGGCCCGGGTTCTCCGGCGGCAGGAAGGCGGCGATGCAGCCGTAGCCGGCCTCGCGCACGAACCGGTTCCTGTGGCTCAGCGTGGGTAGCACCAGGTCCAGCAGGTCCTGGGTCACCTGTAATCAGGTTTTGCGACTTGCTTCGAAATTGCTGTGGACATGACTTACCATCCCACCGACACCAATGGCAAGACAGATGACTTCGCATCGACATCATTTCCGTGAACAACGACAAAACAGCTAACAGCCCGGGGATGAGTGCATGCTGCAGTGGTGCGCCAAGCACGACCGGCCGCCAGTTCCACCGCCATCCTCCTCACCAGTAGGCGCGAGGCAACGATGAGTCGCTCCAGCGCGCGCAGGCAGGTCTCCAGCACCGTCCAGCTGGTGGTGTTGGCGAACACGTCGGCCGAGTCGCGGGATGTGGTCTGAAAACGGGGCCACGGCACCCCGGTCAGCGACGCTGGGGCACGCATGTCATCCTCCCGAGTCACCCCCATCCGGCAACCCATTCGCATTCACGCACGCACGCACGCACGCACGCACACGCATGCACGCACGCGCGTGCGCACACACACACACGCACACGCACACGCACACGCACACGCGCACACAGACATCGCTCCTCGATCGTCCAGCGTCCTTCATCAAATGCCCAACATAAAGGTGTCCATTGATTAGTCTCACCCGGCCCGGCCCCAGCGAACAGGCCACATCCATCACATGCCATGTGTTGCCCCACACATTGGACCTGATGGACCTGGAATAATTTTCTCAGACAGCGTCGTCAATAGTACATCACCTCGCCTGTCAGCTGCTGCAGTGAAGGTGAAAACCGCACCAGCAGTTGGACATGTGGCAGTTTAACCGCCCGGTGGCCGCGGATCCAGCCAATGGCCGAACTGCCCCTCCCCAGCCCAGTGAGACAGTCCAGCCCCAGTCACGTGCGTGGTGGGCTCACCGAGCTGGTCTCCCACTTGTCCTGGTCGTCCTCGGCCGCCTGCAGACTGCTCATCATCAGCGAGGCCAGCGTCCCTTCCACGCTCTGGTATATCACCTGACCGTGCAGGCGGCACAGCCAGCCCAGCAGCTCCCCTGGCGGACGGCCGACCAGCTAGTACTGCACAGTTCGCCAACAGAGGCCGGATGGCGGGCAGGCCTTGCGGACACATAAAGAGCCATCGGCGGCCTTGCTACGCGACAAGACCGATCAAACTGCGGGTAAATTGCTTACTGGGCACATCACTGTCATCGCAGTAGATTCAGACTCGTCCTGAGTGTAATGTGGGAAGCTCATCCAACAAGAGGAAATGTGGGCCCTTACATCAACGTGTAGGTGACCAAACCACGATTTTAGGCGGTTCATTACCGTAAGATTCTTACCGGTGGCAACGCGCACCCTGGCCTCCCCATGGGCCAGGTAACTGGGACAGAGCTGCAGGATCTGTGCCAGCATGTCTGTGGGCAGCTGGGTCTGACGCACTTCCAGGACAGTGCTGGGAAGGAGAAAATCACACATGTCACACACAAATATACACAGGGGTTAACAAAATATGTTTTGGGCCCAAACAGATGAGCTTGGCCTATCTCTCCGCTTGAACTTTGATTGTGCGCAGGTTTCCTTGCACAGAAGTCTCTTGCCAACAAGATTTCAGCAAAATGGATGTGAACATGCACCTTAAGCTGGAATTCACTGTACCGCTTGAGCAACATGGACTGTTGAGAGGCGCCGGGTTTGTGCACGTCAATGTACCCAGCGAAGAGAAGGATCGGTGACGTAAGGTGCCAGAGGTAAAGAGGGCAAAAGTTGCATCTCATGACAACACTGTGCGTCACTGTATGAAAGGAAGCAGAGGTCAAGCTTCGTTTTAAAAATGACATTTGCATCCCTTACTTGCTTTGAAAAGTTTCGCCTATTAATTTCACACAAATCTACTCGGCATATGGCAGGAATAATGGGAACGGGGAGGAGGTATGACTACTCACGCCTCACCCCTGATAGAAGCGTAACATAAGCTTTCTTGTGCCGAATGACCGTAAACGACGTACACATCACATTTTCCACCCCTGTGCCTTCACGGCCTCCACCGTTACTGACCTGTGCCATCAATTAACGTCCATCCACACAACCAGTAAGAAATACTAATAAAATCATAGATCATAGCCCGCAACAAACATGATCCGAGCTGTTGGCAACGTGCTACCGCGTGCCACAGATAGACCTGACGCAGACGAGGCGGCCGAGATAGGGACGTGTCCCAGACAGACCTGATGCAGACGAGGCAGCTGAGGTGCGCTGCTGCGTGCCACAGACCGACCTGATGCAGACGAGGCAGCCGAGATAGGGGCGTGTCCCAGACAGACCTGATGCAGACGAGGCAGCCGAGGTGAGCGTGCCAGCTGCCGTCCTGGTCGTCCAGGCCGGCGGCGGCCTCTGTCAGCAGGCGGTCCACCTCGGCCTGGCTCAGCGCCGGCAGCAGGCGCGTCAGCACGTCCAGCGCCCGGTCACGCTCCAGCTTCATCGGCGAGCAGAGCAGCCGGAACATCGACGGGATCTCCTCCGACATGGCTGCGGTCGCCGTCTCGGTCGCCGGGCGCCGACTCCAAGCGTGTTAGCTGCAGGGACCGCAGTGGGGCGTTGCGTCAGGTGGCACCGCCTGCTCAGCGGATACACCTTTCCTCAGCGAAAAACTACGTGGGTGAAAACTTCGCATCCGTGGTAAAACCGCTGGGATGAACAACAGCTCCTGTGCAAAGAAAAGATGCTGGCAAAGCTTTGTGGTGTCACAATGGCCATTTCCATTCCTGCATACCTACTCTGAATACTGGCTGATACAAACTGATGCTGGATATTGTCATTGTGGACACAATCGGGCCGAAATGTGTTTTGACCTGATGACAGTAGCATTACCAACAACTTGAGCCCTGGCCGACGTCAGCCGTGTCATCACCTTCCACTGCGTGGGAAGTGACCCTTCAGCCGACTTCACATGTGACGTATTGGAGCAAGCAGTTCATAGTGGCATAGGGGGAGGGGACTTCTACATATTCTACAGGTTACAACGCTTCATTCTACGATGCTTTCAACGATTGTCTTGCTATTCGGCTATTTATGCAAATACACATGACACACGCACGCACGCACGCACGCACGCACGCACGCACGCACACGCACACGCATACGCACACGCACACGCACGCGCACACACACGCACACGCACACGCACACTGATTGGTGCTACTGATAGGATGATTAGGAGGATGGGATGATTAGCAGGAGTTTTGAATGATACTTGCATGTTAAGAACAGTAGCGAATGCCGACCTGAAAATCAGTGACACAAAGAGATTGCATACATAGGCCTTGGCAATTAAGTGGCGCGCAATGATACAAAAAGGCACGAGTGCGAAGCCGGCTTTGGCTATAGCTTCAGCTTTGTGCCATTTTAATAACAAGCTTCAGGTTAGGATTCAAACGTTTTCAAAATATTGGCCGGGTTTCATGGGAGCTTGAACTCCGGCCTCGGCTTTGTTGTTGTTTTTTTTTTACTGAACTCGCGACTTTACTTCACTATATATCTTTACTTTTTACTTTTTTTTACTATATTGTATTTTACATATCCTGCCGCTCCGATGTACAACACAGCTTTTCGAATCTCTCATGCAAAGCACATGGCCGAAAGTCAAATACTAGCCGGTCATTCCCAATGCCAGTTAACACCTGGCCACTGTCAGATAACCGACTGTCCGAAACGTCGTGAACATGCCAACATACAAGACGAAGGCGATAGTGCACAAGTCTGCCACTTGTGACGCTAACATCTCGTCTTAATCACTCTGCAAAATAATGATATTTTCTGATCCATATAGCTTTTGCAGATGCTCAAATGTTACTGGTGTACTAAAACGCCTTTGTACACTAAATCCGGTGTTGATTTCGGAATCGCGATTCTTAACCCCTCATTCGCCTGTCATTCCATGCTTCCTAAGCTAGAAGCTGCTGACTTCGGCTTCCACTTCTTGTGTGCAAAATGTGAAGACACTGCCTTCGGATCTGGCTTCACGTTTTCCGGATACGAAAACAACAGCCTCCACTTTGTCTTTGCAGTAAAGTTCTAAGGCTCAATTTTGCCTTTATATTACTGCCTTCACTTTGTATTCAACTTTGGATCTGAAACCCTGACTTCATCTCCATACCTAGTGCCAGCCATGCAATATTGCCATCTTTTTTAAAACAATTATGTTTTATCAGTTAACACCTTGAGCCTATCATTCCTTTTGCTTGAGCTCATTAGAACCCATCCATGGAATGTATGATTGTTTTTGCTCATTTTTCAACCAACCTTCCCCTGGATATGCACTTGTCATGCCTAGGCATGGCTTTCCTTCTCCCTTGTTGTGCATTTAAAATGTGTACAAATATTTCATCCAATTTGCATACATAATTTAATGCTGCACTGCTAAAAACACACCACTCCTTTGTTAGCTTCATACCCATAAAGACGTGCAGACTATAACAGAAAAATTATTCCAGGGTCACCCAGACATTCATGATGCCAGAACAATGTCATTCAAACCTTGACATGCCATTGACCATGGGTGGTTATGATGAATAAAAATACTATTATTGATTGCATTTGCATATTCATATACTTGCATATACATTGCACTGCCTATACTTGCATGTCCTATTCCTGAGAATGATTTCTAGATATAAGCCAGTAATTGGCCCTCAATCAATGTTGTCAGCAGGGAATAATGATTTAATTAAACAATCATGCATTGAGGAGTGCATTTACAAAACAAAAATTATGCTGCCTAAAGCATCTCTTTCCCCTTAAAAGTATACCAATAGTTATTTAACATATACTTAAAAAAGTACATCAACAGTAAGCAGTGAGTTTATTCCATGATATCTGATGCTTGCTTCAATATCTTCAACTGCCCCACATTCCCTTTAAGCACCCTCACACATGTTTTTTGAGAAGTCTTGCTTCTGATTACAAGTAATACTATGATACACCACTAGTGCCCCTTCTTTTTATATAAGCTCCATTGAAATATCATGACACTTTCAAAATAATATCAGCACTCTCTGGCCAGTTGCCCTCTAAGTTGTATCTAAAAGTCAAGTAAAGACTCACTAGATGTCAACCTACAATGTAAACAATGAACAGTGAAGTAGAATGGAGTCATTAACTTGGGCAATGAAGCTTTCATGTATCTGAGTGGCTAATATGAATCATTTATTCATTTTCTTTCCAAAGGCACAAATCTTTGAGAATGACCAGCTTCCAGAGAACAGCTACTTCAGTCCCAACTTAATTATGTAAAACCCCATCCAGAGAACAAAAACATGACATCAAACATGCCAGGCATAGCAGCAACATCAGAGTAACAATTTTAGTACATGCCTGCAGTAAATATGAGAGCTCATTTTGGAGCAACACTAACACCAGCACACAGAGAGCCAATGTTCCATTGAATATTGATGTTTTAAAAGCAATGTGCCACAAAAAACTCCCAACACATTTTTCAAGCAAGTGCAAATCAAAATTTGCACCAATTTGGCCATGGCTGCAATTTAGTACATGCATACCTCAAGGCCAGCACACCAATTTTGAGAGGGCATCCAGTACAGTGGATATATGTTTTGCATGATGACCTGAAGCAAATGAATTCAGAAGCAATCATGAATGATAACTATGTTTTGGCACATGGCAGTAGCCACATCAGCTTCCATCGAAAACAACCGAGACAAAACATTTATCCATTCTGGCAACTTGGCCGCGCCAATTTTGAGCGGCACTATCCGCCCATGCACAAAATGCCTCAAGTTTAACACACAGAACACTCCTTACAATTCCACTAAGTGAAAGCTTAAACAAGCCAAATGGGTCAAAAATCTTGGACAGTGTCTCCATACCAAGTTATCTGCTCCGCGTCCACCGTAGTGCAAAAAAAAAAAACTTCTGTACGGATGCGCAGTACCAGTTCCAGACGTACCCAGCAGCAACACCGTACAGAATGAACGAGAAATTACAGCAAGCACAACCAATACTGGCGATGTACCACAAATGAAACTTGTGCGCCGCTTACACTCACATATATTCACAAGTAGTCAAATAAAACATGAGTAAAGCATGATTTCTGTGTCTGCTTTTTTCCAGTGTTATCTGAAGATGAGTCTTTGGAATTTTATTTCACAAAGCATAATTTGAGCTTTAGATGCCACGAAGATAAATTTATCCCTACTAGCTTCATCCCTTTTTGCGCTGCCCCAATACGATAACGAATCAGGGAACAGCTTATGAAACTCACCCAATCAGAGAACAGTTGACATTGGGCCGCATGCCTCCGCAATCTTCTGCTAATTCCGTTTGTTGTTAGCTGCGTGTGATGTGTGTTGTCGTTGCTGTTTCTGTATATGCCCAGTTGCATTTAAGGAACAATTGTATTTTATCAGGTGTCCTTAGGATATCGAGCCATCGTATCGTTATCAAGATACCTACTTCATTCTCTCGCAACGCTTTTCATATCTTAGGGCAAAATAGGCGAATTCTGGTCGAACTCAGCCGACCTATAATTTCAAAATGAATTTCATGAACATCCGCGACGGTCAGTACACTATGACCATCTATCAAAAGGTAAGACGCGCCTTAGGTGATCATCTTGCTGTTTTGGGGAGATAAGCAATTGTCCGTGCAGCCGTTGTTTTGTGTCCTGTGTTATGGTTTTAGCCGGACCTGTCGAGACATTTCATCCACTCGTTGCTACAGGCTTCAGTTTATGGGATTCCTTGCACCGCTGGTGGTTTGCGTCAACGAAGCGATAACGTATGTATTATCTTGACGTAGTCAATGATGTGTAAACATATCCATCCATTAATGAAAGTCCACAATTTTCAGATACGGGAAGGTCTATACAAGGAAGCAGTGCAAATTTTGAATGCCATATTGGATACATACCCCACGGTAAGAGGAATTGACTCATTTCTCTTCGGTAGTCTGCTGACGCCGGGGGGGGGATCGGCTAGACATATGGACAGGTTTGGCAGCCAACGTCTCATCGCGGCCTTCGTCACAGGGTGGAAGGGGTCTGTTGAAGAGCTTCCCTCTCCCAGCCCTATCGGCCCCGCCTTACCTACGCGAACTGCGCGAAATTAACATGGAATGTGTGAGTTGTGCATGAAAAGACACGCTGAACTTATTCTTCATGTCACCCGAAACCTTCTCCTGCGGCAGACCCGAAATTTTAAGTGCATCTGGCTCCGGCCAAGCATTGTTCCCCTCTGTTCCATCGGGCATCTAGTACCCGACACCTCCCCATCTTCTGCCCACACGGGAATAGCCGGTGACCTCTCTGGATGTAATGGTGCTGGGCCCGGCCCTGGGCGGTCGGAGCGTGACCGTGCCGTGTGTGCTGTTCTAGTCTCGGGCGGCGCTGTCGCTGCTCGGCTACTGCCACTTCTACCAGCAAGAGTTTGACCAAGCGTCCGAGTACTACGGCCGGCTGGTGCAACTGTTCCCCGAGTACGAGGACTATCGGCTCTACTACTCGCAGGCGCTCTACCAAGCCTGCCGCTACGAGGAGGCCATGAAGGAGACAAGTCAAATTGACAACCCAGACTACGCCAGCAAGGTGAGACCCGGCCGGCCGGCTGATGGACTATCACCAACTCAGGAGCGATTTGCATCATGGCGGGTAACCTGGCCGCTACAGCCCAGGGGGTCGTACCATGGCCCTGCATCGTAAGCCGTGAGGACATGGGCAGCCGCTAACATCGCGACTGCGATATGTTATGTTCAGCCTGTGTTTTTCGTTAAGTGCTTTTCCTGGAATATCTGCCATGTCGCTCCGGTGATGTTCAGTGATGGGAGGGCTGATCTGGGGACCCTGGCCTCTATCCCCGTCACATTGAGCGCGCGTGTCACCGGCGCGCCGCTGTGAGAGCGCAGCTGAGGTCCACACCCCCGACGCCAGGTGACGAAGCTGCAGGCGGCGATCAAGTACGGCCAGGAGGACCTGGCCGGCGCCAAGAGCATGGTGGAGCAGTGCCCCTCGGACGACCCGGATACGGCCATCAACCAGGCCTGCCTGCTCTTCAAGGTGCAGCGCCGACAGACTACCCTGTCGTGGACTGGCGCTTCCCGAGCTCTTCTAAGCTCTATTGGTGGCGAGGCATTTGCTGAGCTCCCGCTCAGTGAACCTGAGGCGCAGGTTCCTGAGGAGCTGGTCGGCAGGAGGGAGTGTTGAGCCCCCGCTCAGTGAGCCTGAGGTGCAGGCTCCTGAGAAGCTGGTCGGCAGGAGGGAGTGGCACATGAAGCATGCCCCTATCACCCCGTGGTGTTCAGATTGTATCATTTCACCATGATATCATCATCATATCACCATGTGCAGGCTCCTGAGGAGATGATACCCCGTGATATTTAAATAGTATCATCGCAATGGCCGGGCCCTTCTGCCAGCATAAAAAGCGACGACGACTGTGCCTTGCAGCGCCAAGAACAGCACTCCTGTCATTTCGACGTCACTATGGAGTGCCGTCAATGGACGGGATCTCACGCGTGCTGTCTCATCGTCGGCAGCGATGCTGAAGCAGCTCTCCAATCAGCTGGGAGTTGCCGCAGAGTGCCTCGGGTGAGCTTAGCCTCAGCCGTTCACCTGTGTCGCTCCGTGCCGCAGGATGAGCGGTATGACGAGGCGGCCACCAAGTTCACGCACGCGCAGCAAGTGGTGGGCTACATGCCGCATCTCTCCTACAACATCGCCCTCTGCCACTACAAGCTCAAACATTACGCGCCAGCTCTGAAGGCCATTGGTGAGAGTCCCGGCCGTCAGCGGACGGTCGAGGACTAGCGGATCTCTAGACTCTCTTCAGAGTCGGATGGACTGGCAGCAATTTTGTCTGAGGGCTACAGCTCAGACTAGCAAGCTGATGATACTTAGTTTCACCAAACGTGTAAGAGGTGTGTGTTGAATGACCAGAGCTGTTGTTTACTCTGGCCATTTCGTTGTCTAACCCCATGCTCCGCAAATACAACTTGTCACGTTGATGGGAGGGCGCCAATTCTCCTCTGCGGGAGCAGCTGCCGCGCGTCCGTACCAGCGGACGATACGGTGTGCGCACCGTTCACACCCTTTGGCCGCCTTTGTGCCGCCCCCACGCCTGCCTGACGACGCGGCACCGGCCGGCAGCCGACATCATCCAGCAGGGCATCCAGCAGTACCCGGAGCTTAGCGTCGGCATGACCACCGAAGGCCTCGAGGTGCGCAGCGTCGGCAATACACTCACTCTGCATGAGACGGCCCTGGTCGAGGCCTTCAATCTCAAGGCGGCCGTCGAGTACCAGCTGAAGAACTGTACGTGGGGTGCGGCGGCGCCCGCCACGGTGGTTAAGCCTTTGGGGCGCGGAGCGGGGTCGGGTGCGCGGTGCGTGGGCTCGATGTTGGGGCAGAGTTGACATGCACGTTAACATGGTCGCTCCCGGATGTCTGCCCACCTGGTGAAAGAGTGCATTGAGTGCTATTCCCCATTGGACATCAGTATGTTTGTTTGTCCATCGGACTGCCGGACGAGGTCAGATGTCAGTGTCTCAGGCGGCAGCACGTGTCAAAAGTTAGGTGGCTGTGACATGATGGATGCATATTACATGTCCACGTCCACATGTGCATGCGTTTACCCTACTGTGCTGGGTATCGTGACGTCAGATGACGTGGCGCGGGAGGCGCTGACGGTCATGCCGCTGCGGCTATAGGAGGAGCTGTCTGACTGCTGTATGTCGTGATGTCAGATGACGCGGCGCGGGAGGCGCTGACGGACATGCCGCCGCGGCTGAAGGAGGAACTTTCTGACTGTGGTGTGTGTTGTAACGTCAGATGACGCGGCACGGGAGGCGCTGACGGACATGCCGCCGCGGCTGAAGGAGGAACTTTCTGACTGTGGTGTGTGTTGTGACGTCAGATGACGCGGCGCGGGAGGCGCTGACGGACATGCCGCCGCGGCTGGAGGAGGAGTTGGACGCTGTCACGCTCCACAACCAGGCCGTGATGAACATGGAGGCCAAGGTGCAGTGGACGGTGGCGGCGTAAAGGACGGCGACGCGCCGACCCCGCCGCCCCGTGGGGGGGGGGGGGGGGGGCTGAGCAGAGCTTGCCCCGGGTGTCAGCCCTACCGGCGTGGGATCTGGTGTCAGCTGCATGACATCTCCTTAAGTCTGTCTCGGAACGCATTGACGTGGAAGCAGGCGAAGCAGGATTTGTGCTGATTTTGTTGCGATATCGGTGTGTCGGGGGAGAGTGCGGCTGCACACACCTTGCTACCTACTGGTATGGAGTATCGTTCCCTGAGAGTTTTGTCAGTCAGCTTTCTCCAAGCAGCATGTCGGTTTAGGGGGGCAAATCTGCATGCTGCACGCATGGATGACGGCGCCTGCCTCCCACTCTGGCAGGAAGGTCAGCACCGCGGGGAAGCGAACTCCGTACCTCTGGTTTCCCACACGCAGCTTGGCCACTGCACAATCGGAACACAATTAGGCAGTTGGCTCATTAAGATGCCGTAAGATTCCTGTTTTCCAAGTCACTTCTTTTGAATGTGTTACCGTAGGGCAGCTGGCGAGAGAGCGTTCGATGCGATCAGCCTCCTGCCGTCCATGTGACGTCTTCCCGGCCCGTGTGCGGCAGGCGTCCGACGGCTTCCAGAAGCTGCAGTACCTGCTGATGCAGAACCCGTTCCCTCCGGAGACTTTCGGCAACCTGCTGCTGCTCTACTGCAAGTACGAGTACTACGACCTGGCTGCCGACGTGCTGGCGGAGAATGCTGACCTCACCTATCGCTACCTGACGCCCGTACGTGCTAACGCCCTGGCATGGACACCTTCCCCGCCCCTCATCTCACACATCGCGACATCGCGGACGCGCGCCGGGTGATCCTCGCCGCCGTGCCGCGCGCGAGCTTCAATTCCACTGCGGCCTGCTCACGCCCCACGCACATCTGACGGCTCGCTCCGGCTGTCCGCTTCACCTCCTGTTTGTCATCCAAGGCCGTGTGCGAGGCGGCGCGCCGCCGCACTGTCTCGTGCCTCATCTTGACCGGTCTCACCTCACCTCACCTCACCTTACCTCACCCCAGCCTTACTTCACCTCACCTCACCTCACCTTACCTCACCTCACCTCACTTCATTTCACCCTACCTCATCTCACCCTACCGTACCTTACCTTACCTCAACTCATCTCATCTCATCTTATCTTATATGACATCACCTCACGTCACCTCACCCCACCTCACCTCGGTTCACTTGTCTTCGCCTCCACCAGAGCTCACCCAGCGTGGTCGCGGATCATGTCTTTTCGCTGACATACATATGCACAGGCGACACGATGCAATGCAAACTAGTAACGATTAAGGGATCCATTCCTGTTCTTCATTATTCTAGTGCGTAGCACGTCCCAACGCACTGCATTGAATCCTTCCCTGTCTTCTTAATGCCAGAACTTTTCCCTACGCTGTAATCATTCTGGCAGAAGTTTGGCTTTTGGCATGGGTCGTGTGAGGGAAAACACGCGTTATTAGGGACGCTTTCATTATGGCAGCGTTATAGTCATGTCGTTGTGGAATGTGTTTGAGTTGAAAATCTTCACTTTGGAATCAGAATATCTCACCTTATTCTTCAAATGACTCATAGACTATCATCTTGGTTGGCTTGAGTAGGCAATACGTGCAGAAGAATGCTTGTGATGGCTGGCAGCCAATCACAGGACAATGAACCGATGGGGAAGTTGGAGCGGCCCAACAACTTTACCGCATCGGTGGCGGCATGGCTTTGGCGCTGCCGACGGAGATAGTATCAAGAAGTCTAGGTAGCCGGGAATGCGCTGGATTGCAATGTTTTGAGTGACGCATTCCTATCGAAAAAGGGTTTGTTGTAAGCCTCCATGCGGGTCGAGGCATGTTGTTGAGGAAACTACGTGTTTTCCTAACTGAGAGCAAGCTTGACACCAGTGCAAAAGTTGCGCGAAAGGGAGCATCTGGTCTTTGGAAGATGAATTGAGGAAAGTGATAGCCGCGTAATTGGAGCATTTACTCCCAAACTAGTCCAAAAATCGATATTGGGGATGAGCTGTCGATCTGGGGCCTTCCTCAAGACTTGAGGAAGGTCCAAGGCCGAAAGGCTTCCAATCTAGAAAGTTTTGCCATTATGATAGCATGGGTTTTAATTACGCTGCTGCACATATTCAAAGCCTCCAACCAGCCCTCCGTCATACTAAAGAAGCTGACTTTGAAGTCGGCAATGAACACGCTTAATTCCGTTACGCCGGCGCACGTACAGTTCAATTCGGACCGGAAAGTTGAAGCTCCAGCTTTATCACTGTGTCGCCCCGTCTGGCGGCGGCTATGCTGTGCCGTGCCATACAGGGACCATTACAATGCACTGCTCCGTGTGAGAGCCGCGAACCTGTGCTGCCCCGCAAGCCATTGATTGTACCGTGCTGCTCCATGTGACGCGCGCCCGGCGCGGCGGTGCTCCCGCTTCTCCGCTCCCTCTGACGCGTGTCCCGTGCGGCGACGCTCTCTCTCTCTCTCTCTCTCTCTCTCTCTCCTCTCTCTCTCTCTCTCTCTCTCTCTCTCTCTCTCTCTCTCTCCTCTCTCTCTCTCTCTCTCTCTCTCTCTCTCTCTCTCTCTCTCTCTCTCTCTCTCTCTCTCTCTCTCTCTCTCTCTCTCTCTCTCTCTCTCTCTCTCTCTCTCTCTCCTCTTCTCTCTCTCTCTCTTCTCTCTCTCTCCCTCTCTCTCTCTCTCTCTCTCTCTCTCTCTCTCTCTCTCTCTCTCTCTTCTCTCTCTCTCTCTCCTCTCTCTCTCTCCTCTCTCTCTCTCTCTCTCTCTCTCTCTATCTCACTCTCTCGCTCTGCTCACCTCTCTCTCTCAGCTCGTCTCTCTTCTCTCTCTCTCCCTCCTCGTCTCTCTTCTCGATCGATCTCTCTTAGACTCATCTCTCTCTCTCTCTCTCTCTCTCTCTCTCTCTCTTCCTCTCCTCTCTCTCTCTCTCTCTCTCTCTCTCTCTTCTCGCTCTCTCCTCTTCTCTCTCTCTATTCCTCTCTCTCTCTCTTCCTCTCTCTCTCTGCTCTTCTCCTCCTCTCTCTCTCTCTCTCTCTCTTCTCTCTCTATCTCTCTCTCCTCTCTCTCCTATTTCTCTCTCTCTCTGCTCTCTCTCTCTTCTCTCTCTCTCTCTCTCTCTCTCTCTCTCTCTCTCTCTCCTCTCCTCTCTCTCTCTCTCTCTCTCTCTCTCTCTCTCTTCTCTCTCTATCTCTCTCTCTCTCTCTCTCTCTCTCTCTCTCTCTCTCTCTCTCTCTCTCGCTCTCGCTCTCGCTCCCTCTGACGGCGTGTGCCGTGCGACGACGCTTCCTCTGACGGCGCGTCCCGTGCGGCGACGCTCCCGCTGCTCCGTTCCCTCTGACGCGCGTCCGGTGCGGCTACGCTCGTGCTGCTCCGCTTCCTCTGATGCAGGAGCTCCCGCTGTTCCCCTCCCGCTAACTCACGTCCGCCTGACGACCGGCACGCTGTGCCGCAGTACCTGTACGACTTCCTGGACGCAATCATCACCGAGCAGACGTCAATCGAGGACGCGTACCGCAAGTTCGACGAGATCAGCACCAAGCACACGGAGCAGCTACGCAAGCTCACCAAACAGGTGCAGGATGCGCGCTCCAAGCAGGACGAGACGGCCATCAAGCGCGCGCTCAACGAGTACGAGGAGGCTCTGGAGAGGTGGGCAGCTGGCGACTCGCTGGCGACTGTTGACGTGGCGGGCCGCGCAGTGGTGTGCGTGCCGTCCAGACCCCCCGGCCGCACCTGCCGTGGACTGAGCGGTTCTGTGTGCTGACTGGACCCCCTCGGCCGCACCTGCTGCGGACTGAGCGGTTCTGTGTGCTGACTGGACTCTCTCGGCCGCACCTGCTGTGGACTGAGCAGTTATGTGTGCTGACTGGACTCCCTCGGCCGCACCTGCTGCGGACTGAGCGGTACTGTGTGCTGACAGGACCGACTCGTGGACGCCGGCGTGGCTGTGGGTTGCTGGCCTCCCGTGTTTCGGTGGGGTCGAGTGTCGTCGAGCGTGGCACACCGCCCAGTGGGTGGGGCGCCGCCGTGCCCGGGACGGGGTGGTGAACGATCGCAGTGTGGCTCGGCCGCCTGGTGGGTGGGACGCCGTCGTCCCCGGGCCCGTGGGGGGGGGGGGGGGGGGGGGACAGTCGTGGTGCGGTCCGTCCACAGGCGTCTGATGTCGCACGGGTTCATGCAGCTGTCCGTCCACCAGTCCACACTGTCACGCCAAACGAAATGAAACATGAGACATGGCGGCTTTGGACTGATCTACGCCTTGTGCTACTTTTGTTTTCGGTTTTCTCTACTTAGCTGTCATCTCGCTTCAGACAATAAATTAATTAACTTAATTACGTACGAAATCAGTGGCTAAATTAACTAGCTGAAATAACCAAATATGTACAGTTTGGATCAAATGGTACGCATTTACCTTGTCTCGGACGACCCGTTGACGATCTGACCATTTGTGATACCGGCAGGTACATTCCGGTCCTGATGGCGCAAGCCAAGATCTACTGGGACCTGGAGAACTATCCGCAGGTGGAGAAGATCTTCCGCAAGTCCGTGGAGTTTTGCTCCGACTCCGACGTCTGGAAATTGAACGTGGCGCACGTGCTATTCATGCAGGAGAACAAGTTCAAGGAGGCCACCGGTTTCTACGAGCCGATCGTCAAAAAACACTATGATAATGTAAGTGGTCCGCCTGTTGTAGTTCAGCTGGCTTTTGTCTGAGTGCTTTTATCGCTTCGTCTGATATCCATCTGCACGTCGTCAACGGCTGCTTGGCCTTTCGTGGTCTATGGTGTTAATTAATTGAATTAAGTTGTTTTCTGGCCTGTGTAAGGGGGTTTCAGCGTTTGTAAGCTTTGTTTAAATATCAGCAAGAGAGACCGCCCCTGGCCAAGCCCCTGGTTTATAAGCCCCCGGTTTTCCGGCATTATGGGTTGTTATGCCGAAAATTACCGAACTTGCACGCATCGTGATGCAATGCGAATCAGATGCATCATGATGCACTGGCTAAACAGCGATATCAGACAATCATTGGGAGGGATTATGAAGGTAGAAAGTTTGAAATGCGTTGTAATGATTGCTTGCCATGGGTGTTTAACCACTGCGTCCTGGTTTATTGAAGGCCAGATGTTTTCAAGATGATAACTCATAAGTTATAATGCCGTTATTTTTAAATGCCTTAAACGCCCCGACCGTAGGTACTTCTAGAACGGCAATGCTACGGCTTTAACTGCTACAATGAACGGTCTGAAGTTCATCATGATACCGCTTATTTCGGCCGCGCGTTTTCATTATCTTATCTGTCGTGTGACATTCTCCATGTTTGCTCAGCCTTCCAACATGTGAGGATTTCTCCAACGTCCGTAACTAATCCGTTCTGGTCGTCCTTTGTCGCAAAGTGGGATGCATTAATGATGGATCGTTACACTGTCTTGAAAATACCTGGCGGCTCCTTTCAGGTCAGAAAGCGGTCGTTGCTGAGCTGAGGCAGTTATCTGAATTAGGAGTGCCGACGGCGGTTTGTTTGCAACTGCACGCGGCTTGACGCGGTGTCCGCCCTCGCGTGCTGGCAGATTCTGGACGTGTCGGCGATCGTGCTGGCCAATCTCTGCGTCTCCTACATCATGACGTCGCAAAACGAAGAAGCGGAGGAGCTGATGCGCAAGATCGAGAAGGAGGAGGAGTCTATCGCCTTCGAGGACCCAGAGAAGAAAATCTTCCACTTGTGCATCGTCAACCTGGTCATTGGGTGAGATGGCGGCCGGCGGAGAGACAGTCCCGGCCGTGACAGCGGGGAACGACACGGGGGCGGCAGAGAGACAGTCCCGGCCGTGACAGCGGGGAACGACACGGGGGTGGCGGAGAGACAGTCCCGGCCGTGACAGCGGGGGACAACACAGGGGCGGCGGAGAGACAGTCCCGGCCGTGACAGCGGGAAACGACACGGGGGTGGCGGAGAGACAGTTCTGGCCGTGACAGCGGGGAACGACACGGGGGTGGCGGAGAGACAGTCCCGGCCGTGACAGCGGGGAACGACACGGGGGCGGCGGAGAGACAGTCCCGGCCGTGACAGCGGGGAACGACACGGGGGCGACGGAGAGACAGTCCCGGCCGTGACAGCGGGGAACGACACGGGGGCGGCGGAGAGACAGTCCCGGCCTTGACAGCGGGGAACGACACGGGGGCGACGGAGAGACAGTCCCGGCCGTGACAGCGGGGAACGACACGGGGGCGGCGGAGAGACAGTCCCGGCCGTGACAGCGGGGAACGACACGGGGGCGGCGGAGAGGCAGTCCCGGCCGTGACAGCGGGGAACGACGGGACGGTGTGGCGCGAAGGCTCGCTGCACGGAGACTGGTACACGTCTTATATGTCTGTGTAATGACATATAACAAAGGGTGGAGAACGCTGCTGAAAACAAACAAGTCTTAATCAAAATTCACATGTCATTCTACATTGCGTGCAGTCGCTCTATCTCGGTTAACACTACGACTGCGTCTCCCATGGTGCTTCCAAAGCCCGTCTTTACGTGGCGGAGGCATGCGGTGGGCAGACGATGGCGAGCAAAGCTGCGTGGATCAATGCACTGCACCGGCCGCTGGTGGCGCTGTCTCTGAGTACGCCGTGCTCCGCCGAGACTGCCCGGGTAGTCTGATGTCTCTGAGTATGCCGTGCTCCGCCGAGACTGCCCGGGTAGTCTGATGTCTCTGAGTATGCCGTGCTCCGCCGAGACTGCCCGGGTAGTCTAATGTCTCTGAGTACGCCGTGCTCCGCCGAGACTGCCCGGGTAGTCTGATGTCTCTGAGCACGCCGTGCTCCGCCGAGACTGCCCGGGTAGTCTGATGTCTCTGAGTATGCCGTGCTCCGCCGAGACTGCCCGGGTAGTCTGATGTCTCTGAGCACGCCGTGCTCCGCCGAGACTGCCCGGGTAGTCTGATGTCTCTGAGTATGCCGTGCTCCGCCGAGACTGCCCGGGTAGTCTGATGTCTCTGAGTATGCCGTGCTCCGCCGAGACTGCCCGGGTAGTCTGATGTCTGAGTATGCCGTGCTCCGCCGAGACTGTCCGGGTAGTCTGATGTCTCTGAGTACGCCTTGCTCCGCCGAGATTGCCCGGGTAGTCTGATGTCTCTGAGTATGCCGTGCTCCGCCGAGACTGCCCGGGTAGTCTGATGTCTCTGAGTATGCCGTGCTCCGCCGAGACTGCCCGGGTAGTCTGATGTCTCTGAGTACGCCTTGCTCCGCTGAGACTGCCCGGGTAGTCTGATGTCTCTGAGTACGCCGTGCTCCGCCGAGACTGCCCGGGTAGCCTGATGTCTCTGAGTACGCCGTGCTCCGCCGAGACTGCCCGGGTAGTCTGATGTCTCTGAGCACGCCGTGCTCCGCCGAGACTGCCCGGGTAGTCTGATGTCTCTGAGTTCACCCTGCCCTGTCGAGACTGCTCGGGTGGTCTGTTGAGGTAGGGTCGCCCCTGAAAGGCTAGTGGCACTCGTGGCCTCCACAATAATCTACTATTTCTTCACGTGCTTTTTCTTACTGGCGTGTAGGATTGCATGGTGGAGGGGAGCAGACCGCCGTCCGTTGTATGACGAAGGGAGTAGACCGCCGTCCGTTGTATGACGAAGGGAGTAGACCGCCGTCCGTTACATGACGGAGGGGAACGGACCGCCGTCTGCTGTATGACGGAGGGGAACAGACCGCCGTCCGTTGTTTGACACCCCGTTCGTCTTCGCCGTAGGACCCTGTACTGCGGCAAGGGCAACTACGAGTTTGGCATATCGCGGGTCATCAAGTCGCTGGAGCCGTACCAGAAGAAGCTGGGCACTGACACGTGGTGAGCAGCGATAGCGGTTGCATGGGTCTCATATGACGTCGAGCTCGCCATCTGTCGTCACCGCGCTCGGGGGGGGGGGGCGGGGGGGGGCGCTGCTGACGCCTTCTGCGGTGACAGTAGTCGTACACTGTGCAAACTGCTTGGAAACGGGGCGCGAAGCAGCCGCTGCCCGTCCATGATGATAAATTGGGGCATTTGTTCTCTAGGTAGGTGTTTCACTGCTAGTCCCGGGAATTCCTGCCGAAGAGCATTGGAGCGGCCATGCAGGCGTTTTGCCTGGCTGTGTTGCTCTAGTAATGTGTTACCAGGCAGTAACCGACTGGTTTGTTACTTGCTAAGTTCGTTACGAACTGGTGGCAGCGGTTGCCACCAATTCGTAACAAAGCGACGAAGTGGCCGAAGCAGGCGGGCGCCGCTGATGCCGGCCCGCAGCGCCGTTAGCGTCACATGCCGCTCGGGCGGTGGTAACCGGGACCACCGTCTGCCGCCGGCCGCCAGGTACTACGCCAAACGGTGCTTCCTCAGCCTGTTTGAGATGCTCGCCAAGAACATGATCACCGTCAACGACAAGTCGCTGGACGAGTGCATCCAGTTCCTCGAGAACTGCGAAGGTAGGGCTCGCCGCGTCGCGACTCTCGCGGTAGTTCGCCAGGTAGCGCTGGCAGGGGTGTCCGCTGGCATGGCCTCCACTGCTGTGCCGACAGCCATCCGAAGGGCACTGGTTGAGGGGAGAGAGTGCGGGTGAAGGGGGTGAATTGTGTGATTGTTTTGTGACGCACCTTTTTTTCTTTTCATTTCAACGTGATAACATGTAGTCATTTATGAAATGACGTAGTCTTGACGTTTGACTCATTTGTCTATTTTCTGACAGCGCTTTGAAATATGGCCGCAGTCCCTGATGTCGGTTGCTCCGTGGTAGCTAGCTGGGTCGCCTAACCTGCGTCTGGTCTCACAAAACGATGGCAGAAACTTCCGCGCTTTTAATGTACGGTGGATGAGCTGAAAGACAAAACAATTGTTTGGCCGACCTGTCTTACTAATCAACGACTTGACAATCGAAAGACAAATTACAGTCGGTTGTTTTAGGTCGGTAGCTTGTGCGACGGAATACAATAACGCACGATTTGTAGCTTCGCTCCATGGGAATAGTTTCAGGCTGACACGCACAACGTTTCTCCTAAAACCATCGCTGACTGTCTGCTCCAAGCGCGTCCTTCAGCTCAGCTGCGCGCACTTCCTCCCGTGACGTCACTGTTCCGCACTGACGGCTCGCCGTCGCCGGCAGCGTTCGGCAAGAACATCAAGACGACAATCGAGGCGCCGCTGGCCGAGACCAACCTGCACCCGGGCAAGAACACGGTCACCTACGAGGCCCGCCTCCTGCGCGCTCTCTACATGGAGTACATGATGAGCTAGGCGGCCCCTCGGCCGACCCCCGCACGCGTCACCCGGCGCTCGAGTCGCGCGGCGGGCAGCTCGCACGCCATGTGATCGTGGCGACTCTCGCGTATTGCTTCGTGGCGACGCGGCGGCCGCTGGCCCGCCCGCGTTTGCCGTTGTTCTGCCGCGCACTGTTCCGTCCCGTCCACGCGTGCTCCGGCGGCCCCTGCACGTGCCATGCCTGACCCAGCCGGCGTACCGTCGGCGCCGCAGCCGATGTTACAACGCGCTGCAGTGTGGCTAACATGTTTATTCCCGTGAATGATGAGATATATACGATGGCACATTGTCCCGATCCGTATGGCCTGGATCGGAACAATCAACAAGACGCAAGCCTGCTAACAAAGTGGGATGACAGTGTCGATCGCTTCATCATGGGTCGCCGCGGAAGCGCGCCAAGCCGCGCGACAGCACATCCCAGTGATGTAGTTCCGTCCGTAATTCATCCGTTGAATTAATGGAGCGGTGCGAGCGGCCTCTTGTTGCGTCCCCCCCCCCCCCCGCAGTGTTCTCTCGGTTATAATCACTGGACGACAATGTGCTGCGAGGCACCAACCATGATAACATGTTCAGCAATGTGTTCATGTCACACGCTAATGTAAAGTGGTATATTTCCGCAGATCTCCGCTGGTCTGAATGGCAGGGCACCATTCAAAATTGTTACCAAAGTAGTAGATATGCGCCTACCAATCAGCAAAAGCTACCTCACAACCACATGAGGCGGTCAGAAATGGCGGGAGTACGCCACCCCTTGTTCGACGCGCAGTAGCCGTTGAGACCAGTAACGAGGCAGCTAGCCGCCGGCTGGACCGATCACACCAACAGCGCAGCATCCGCCCGCCGCGAGCACGTCAGGGGCACGCAGGCCGTGCGATGCCGTAGCTGCAGTGTCGATGATGTGGACCGGCACACCGGCCACCGGCCTCACACAAGGCCTCGTCAAAGGAATCTTCGCTGTCTTGCCCATACATAGTTTGCACAATATGACGTGATACGCAATGGAAGGTGGTGACTTCATTGAGGTCACTGACTGGAGGGGAAAATCTCGCCGTCGAAGGTGAACGCGAACGGCGAGCTGTGACGTCTGAGAAATGAGCCCAAGGATCCTGTACTCGGCGCGTTCAACGTGATCCTAAACTTAAGGCGATACCACGGAAGTGAGTGCGAGCCGACATTCATCTGATGCTGGGTTTGTCATGGCTGGCAATCACTGATGTGTGCGTCGGGTGCGATCGTCCGCGCTTGGTTACATTGAGCGAGGTCTATCGGCGGGCAGCATAACTTGTCGGCCGGTCGGACCTAGTTTGTTCATAGGATCACATTGCAGCGCATTATTGAATGCGGTGGGTCGGTCGGGGCGTGGTGGCGAGCATGCGCAGCCTTTAAATAATATTGGTAGTCACGTACGTGAAGAAGCGGCAAGTTCCAAAGTTATAGTGATTAAAATGTTTATATTCGTGCCCCATGTGTGGCGGCACGCGTATGATTGCACCATAGGAGTGCTATCGGACGCGTACGTGAATTGGTCGTCGGCAGACAACAGTTAGTTTCCTCAGGCTACCCCTTGGCGCGGCGTTACTGAATACGGCAGGAGTTTGCAAACTTTGTGACCAACGTAAGGCAGCCCGAGAAAATACTTAAAATCGCGTGCGATGAGTACGACTGCGTGCATTTCATAACGTACAGGAATACCAGGTGGACAAAGGATAATATAACATAATATATATAACAAAGGATAATGTATAACATATATATATATATATATATATATATATATATATAACATATAATACATACATAGCATACATAACATACATAACATAACATACATACCATAATATATAACATAATATATAACTTAATAAGTATAACAAAGGATAAAATAACAAAGGATAATAAAATACCAGGAATACCAGGATAAAGACAAAGACATGAAAATATCTGGCCAACAAAGAGCAACAAAGGTCCATCGTGGTCGGCCTACCTCAGGTTCCGTACACATCCTGAGAGCTTATCACCTGACCTACATAAATTTGGCTATGAATGGGATCTTTAGACCGATATAACTTGGTAAGACAGAAGCATTAGGCTTATTCCTCGGAGAAAAACCAGGAGAATGGAGATATGGTTGGGCTGATATTTCGGCAGCATGCCTGTATCGAAACGGTAGCAGAAGTGAATGCCTCGTGGGTGTGCCCGCATGCGTATGATCGCACCATGGGAGAGCTATCTGACGGGCACGTGAATCGGTTGTTGGCAGACAACAGCTAGTTTGTTCAAGCTACCCCTTGACGGTGCATTCGCTTTGGGTCCACGATGTTTCAGTGGATACAAATCCAAGGCCCTAAGCCGATAGAAGCCGATGGAACTTGTCCAAACGGTTGCCAACGTTGCTAGAGAAGGACTTCCTGCAACTTCGTTTGTCAGCCCATTCCCATGGCTCACTACTCTTTGACCAAATGACATCTGCCTGTTTATAATTCTACTCCTACCTTTTGCTGAATGAAGCTGGTTTCCTCTATGTCTCGGCCTAACTTACAGTCTTCTATGTAGATCTACCTTGCTTATCCCCTTTATAATGTTGTATATTGCTATTAGATTCCCTCTAAGTCTTCGATGTTTCAGTGGATACAAATCCAAGGCCCTAAGCCTATCCTTGCACTTTAAGTCGCCAATCCCATTTGTCATCTTAGTTGCTTTTCCCTGTACTCTCTCCAGTCTGTCTATATATTTTTGGAAGTATGGGACCGAGCTTGCGCACAACACTGCGGGTGTGGCCTGACATAACCTGTGCAACTTTTTTACAGCATTCATACTCTTGTAAGGGGCATTCTTGTTTATATGTCCCGGCATCCAAAGTGCCTTGCTCCCAGCAGCCCCACATTGATTTCGCTCTTTAAAGCCCTAGAAATTATAGCCCCCAAGTATTTGTCTTCCTTGGTTTGATGTAACTCCCTATATCCGACGTTATAGCTAATACCATCACTGCTAAAACTACCCAAACGCATCATCTTACATCTATCGTAATTGAATAATATCTGCTACAGAGAAGCCCATTTCACTAGTTCGTTCAAGTCAAGTTGAAGTTAGTTCACCTGATCGGTATTTTTCGACAGCCCTACCAATTTAACGTCGTCAGCAAATTTCAGCCCGTCCGACCTCTGTGGAACCACACTCTACTAGCTCCCACTGAGATCTTGTACCATTGAGCACTACTCTTTGTTTCCTATCTGCAGTCAGGCTTAAGAATATGAACGTGTTAAGAACACCGTATTTGTTGCCGTTCTGAGCTGTTGATGTGGTGGTGGTTGACAAGTCACAGGAGCCTAGGGGCCTCACTTTCGGTAAAGACGCCGGCTGGCCCCACCTACCGAGCCAAATGGAGACCTGAGGCAGAACGTCAGCTGACGCTCATCGAAAACTGTGTGTGCTTTGTGTATGGTAAAGACGCCGGCTGGCCACACCTGCCGAGCCAAATGGAGACCTGAGGCAGAACGTCAGCTGACGCTCATCGAAAACTGTGTGTGCTTTGTGTATGGTAAAGACGCCGGCTGGCCACACCTGCCGAGCCAAATGGAGACCTGAGGCAGAACGTCAGCTGACGCTCATCGAAAACTGTGTGTGCTTTGTGTATGGTAAAGACGCCGGCTGGCCACACCTACCGAGCCAAATGGAGACCTGAGGCAGAACGTCAGCTGACGCTCATCGAAATGTGTGCTTTGTGTATGCATGTTATGCCTGCATGAAATATGTAGCGCCAATGCTACCGTTTTTCCTTGCCTAGAACTGACCTCACCAGATAAAACTGATATGTGCTGATACACAGCATGTGTCGGTTTATTTTCTTGAACGCCAGGCAGCCGCCGGCGGGTGCGCGGCCTGTCGCCGAGCTGTAAGCGTGGGCTGCGGGCGGGGTGCGCGGTCTGTCGCCGAGCTGTAAGCGTGGTCTGCCGGCGGGGTGTGCAGCCTGTCGCCGAGCTGTAAGCGGCGTGGGCTGCCGGCGGGGTGCGCTGCCTGTCGCCGAGCCGTAAGCGTGGTCTGTCGGCGGGGTGCGCGGCCTGTCGCCGAGCTGTAAGCGTGGTCTGCCGGCGGGGTGCGCGGCCTGTCGCCGAGCTGTAAGCGTGGGCTGCCGGCGGGGTGCGCGGTCTGTCGCCGAGCTGTAAGCGTGGTCTGCCGGCGGGGTGCGCGGCCTGTCGCCGAGCTGTAAGCGTGGGCTGCCGGCGGGGTGCGCGGTCTGTCGCCGAGCTGTAAGCGTGGTCTGCCGGCGGGGTGTGCAGCCTGTCGCCGAGCTGTAAGCGTGGGCTGCCGGCGGGGTGCGCGGCCTGTCGCCGAGCCGTGAGCGTGGTCTGTCGGCGGGGTGCGCGGCCTGTCGCCGAGCTGTAAGCGTGGTCTGCCGGCGGGGTGCGCGGCCTGTCGCCGAGCTGTAAGCGTGGTCTGCCGGCGGGGTGCGCGGCCTGTCGCCGAGCTGTAAGCGGGGGCTGCCGGCGTCGTGTGAGCGGGGCATTAGCCGGCTGGCTGCGGAAGCCCAGCCATTTCCAGCCGGCGAATTAATTGCCGCGGGAAGCCTGTATGAGCGGCGGGCAGGGTGGCGGCCGATCGATTTGCAAACAGTCGGCGCCGCCAGACCTCATACCGTCGGAGAGAGCGCCGCGCCGGCCGGTCCGGCTCGGGGTACCACGAGCCGCGTCTGCATCGCATGTCAGTGCCGGGTATGGTCACCAGCCGCGCGTGGGACATCCTTTTGAGAGCGCGTGTCGCGGGCCGCCGCACTGCATGGATCTGTCTGCGCGGCACAAGCAGATGATTGGTTTTCGCTGTCAATATAGGCAGATATACGCATGTCCGAGCAGCAGGGAACTGATTTTTCATAATTTCATCACAGTGTCACGTTCTCGGCTTACTACCAGAAGTCAAGCGCCATGAGCAAGGCGCCCAGGGCAGCAGACGGGCCACTGGGTGGCGTTGCCGGGCCGGGCGTCCACCACCATCCCGAGACGGCTATACGCGTAGACTGGAGTGGCGGCGGGCGCCTGGCCCGTGTCGGCTTACGGATCGGGCGAGTGGGCGGTGTGTCGTGGGTTCCCTGGCGGCGATGACCATATCTTGTTATTGTTAGGAGAGGCGCTCAGATTTAAGCGTTCCGCTTATGCGCCAATCCACTCATCATATTATGTGCTGCTTAATGTCCATAATCAAAAATAAACATCAAATCAAATCAAATGAGGCAGCGCATAATCGAATGGAGAAAATTGTGTGTGACCCAGCGGAGCAGGCATACTGCGGATACCAATTTGGTGAGTCTAAAATAATTTCACTCTTTGCATGCGACATTGGTGAGAAATAGAAGTATTCATGCCACAACTGCGCGGATAGTCGCAGAAAAGCAATCAAAGGCGTTTCAGCCACGATAATAACTAGGTATCCACTGTCTACGAGAGCGTGGCTTGAATCCCGAC